GCATCACAGCACAATATTTCAAGATGGGAAAGAAGAGAGAGAGAGACGAGGCCAAGCCTGCGGAGGATGTCCAGATGGCCGACGAGAGCTCCGACGATGAGGTGAGAGACAACTCATTTGCCTTCCCTCACCAGAGATCATCCTACTCACTCAGCCCACAAGGACTTTGACGTCGTCAACGTCGATTTTGAGTGGTTCAACTTTGACCCCGAGGTCGACTTCCAGGGCACCAAGACGCTCCTGCGCCAGCTGCTCGACGTCGACTCCACGCTCTTCGACATCTCAGGCCTCGCCGACCTCATCCTGTCCCAGCCGACCATCGGCTCGACAGTCAAGGTCGACGGCAAGGAGAACGACGCCTACGCGCTCATGACGGCGCTCAACGTCCAAGAGCACAGCCAGAAGCCCGCCATGGCGGAGCTGGCAAAGTACATGATGGACAAGTCGCAGACGAACCCGGCCCTCGCCGCCGCCGTCCCGCGCGTCCTCAACGACAGCGGCGCGCAGGTGGGCCTGGTGCTGACCGAGAGGCTCATCAACATGCCCTCGGAGATCGCGCCGCCCATGTACCGCATGCTCGTCGATGAGATCGAGGCCGCGGTCGAGGACAAGGAGCCCTACGAGTTCACGCACTACCTGATCCTGTCCAAGACGTACCAGGAGATCGAGTCGACGCTCACCGAGACGGAGAGGAAGGGGAAGAAGGCCAAGGCGGACACGGCGCTGTGGCACTTCCACCCCGAGGACGAGGTGTTTGTGAAGCACGCCGTGGCTCACGGCTCCTTTCCGTTCACGAATGAGGAGAAGGCGGTGGCGGACAGCAAACGCGCGTTCCAGGAGATGGGTGTCAAGTCGCACGGTCACCTCATCTTGATTGAGGCTAGCAAGTGGGAGGGTGCAGTGCAGGCGGTAGAGCAGTACCTGAGCGCATCTCAATAGAAAGAGGGAACCAGTAAAAAAAAAGAAGAAACATGATTTTGAGCAATTTTCTTTCATTTCGTAGTCTATTCTACAGGCTCTAGTCTCTGCATGAGGTACTCGACCTCGACGTCCTTGGTCAGGGGTATCACAAAGTCCTTGTACATGGCCACCACGGCATCGGCATCAATCTTGGCCTGGTTCTCCGGGCCCGCTCCGATGGAAGGGTCGGTGCCGTAGGTCAGCACCTTGAGCCTGAGCCGCTCGAGGACCTTCTTCTCGACGGCGGCGTTGGTGATGGCCTCTGCGATGCCCTCGCGATCCTCAGCCTTAATGAGCTTTGTGTACTTTTCCGGATCGGACTGGAACTTGGACTCGGCGACAAACTTGCCAAAGTGTATCCTGCGGGAGAGGGCCTGGAGGCAGGCAATGTCGCAGGTGGCCGAGGAGCCGTAGTTCTCCTGGGACTCGCCGCGGTCCTCGCGGCCGAAATCGGGGCAGAGTGCGGGGAGGAACTTGTCCACGTAAAAGTCCTTGATCTGGTTGTTGACGTTGACGTCGTTGGGGTGCAGGATGCGCGGGTAGTGCAGGGGTTTGAGGATCTGTTTCTGGACGGCTTCGGGGAAGAAGGGGTACTCGTCGGGAGAGTCATAGCGGCGGATGATGGACTGCAGCTTCTCCTGTTCGCAGAGGTACCAGTCCATGAAGCTCAGTTCACTATTTGGTATGTTGAGCGCGCCGGGGACATAAATCGTTTTGTTGCGGGCGAACTGGGCCCGCTCGATAAGGTGAAAAGTGATGGTATCTTCGAGACGACTGTTTTGATAGTTGGCGTTAGATGTGATCGACGAAAAGGGAGTCAACAAACAGCGTTGGAGGTTGGAGGGGGAACCGACATCAACTGGTAGCGAATGCGGGACAAATCCAACGCCTTGGAGGGGTCCGATAGGTCAATGAGAGAGTCCATTTCGTCGTCAATTGATTGAAAGCCGGTTGGGTATTGATAGACCAGTCCCTGGATGTTATGCTGGTGTGCAGTGGGAGTTTGGACGACGGGTTGGGGCGGGTAACGCATTCGGACTGCTTATCGACGAGTCATAAAGGGTAAAAAGCTTGACAGTGGTGAGGATTTGGCTGGGTGCGGGCGGGTGACAACCGAGGCCGATGACGCTCCCAGCGAAAAGGGACAAGCCAAGCAAGCCCAGTTCTCGGGCGGCGGGCACCCAGGGGAGAAAAAAACTAAAAAAAACTCGTCCCAACGCACCACAAGCGCGAGGCTGCCCGTCTCCGGACCCCCCGTGCACTGCATCTGCAGGTCGCTGCCCCCAAGGGATCGGGTGGCTTAAGCGGGCACCAATCACTGACCCTTGCCATCTTTTTGCAGTAGAATTGGCCCCCCAAATCTTACAGCCTCGTACTCCCTATGAAGTAGGCCACATCGGGGCGTTAGCGTGCGCAGGTGTCCCGTGTTGCCCGTGTGCCCCGTGCAGGGAGCTTCTCGGGTGTTTAGCGCGTCATCCAGACAGGAGGCGTCCCCAACCGGGTTCTTGCCGGGATCAGTGCTTGGAGTGTGGATACGTATCTGATTCTCGACCGAGACGACAAAACTCGACCCCGTCGAAAAGAAGCACAAACCCGGAGCGAGCTGTTCCCACAACGCCCAGCTACGAAATCACCACCTTTCTCCTTTCCCGCCCCGTGTCCTCTTCCTCGCCTCCTCCCCCTTTGTGCCACTCATTGTCGCGCGCATCGGACGGGAGCACACACGTACGCATGGCCGCCTCGGATCACGACCAGTATGGCTTCCACGACGATGCGGCCGCCGGAGACGACCAATCCGTCCTGTCTGTAGGTCGACCTTTGCCACTCGCGTGACCACTTGTTCGTCGTGACTTGATGACTGACCAGAGTGCCGTATTGGTAGACTCGCGGTATAGAAGCATTCGGGCGCAAGGTCACGTCCACTGCGAGCCATTTGATGGGTCCTCTGTCCGAGCAAGGGAACAATAATCATCACCACTACCATGGCGCCCTGGCCGAGGTCCACAAGCAGCTTCGGCGGCCAACTATCCAACGAAGCATGTTTTCCATGGCCAAAACGACACCGACAGATATGGTCCGGTCCAAGCTGTCCACAACGGAGATCCAGCATCGCGCCCTGACGTATTTGCCCGACGAACTGCTAGCGAACATTCCCGAGAGCGACAATTCCTACTCCCTCTTCCAGGGCTTCAAAGCAAGCTTCCCGGACCTGACGGAAGAAGGTAGGAAGCACCGACGGCGGGTATCGAGGGGCAGGAAGCTTTTGGAGGATACGGAAAACACTGCCGGCACACCGCAGGCGCTGCATAATCTGAAGAAAGACAAGGCCTCGATGATGCACGAGTTGGAGATGCTGGGTGTTCGTAAGAACATGGCAAGTAGTGAGATTCGTGACATTGACAACAAGATTGCCAATCTGCACGGTATGCGCCGGATCATCCTGGACAGACTAGCCAACTTGGAGCAGGAGGAAACATTGCTGGAACATGACCGTGAGTTGCACAATCATATGAGCTCTTGGATGGCTCGTCTGGTACTAACGAAACTCAGTCATTGATGTCGAGACACGGTTAGAAGACGCCCAAGAGCTCGCAGACGAAGCCGAGTCGATTGCGATAAACACACCCACGAAGACCGAGGAAGATCTGGCTGGTGAGGACGACTCTGGTTTCATGTCACAATCGGTGTACGAGAAGCTCCCAACGACAGCTGGCACGCCGGCATCAAAGGCAAAGAAGAGGGTGGTCCGCCGGAAATCGATGCCAATCTTGCATGAGCATTTCGAGGCTGGCACGGCCATTAGGGAAATCCGCGCGCACCAGGACACGATTACGGCTCTCGACTTTGACGCACCCTTCGGAACAATGGTGACTTCGGCCATGGACGACTCGATCAGGGTCTGGGATCTTAATGCTGGACGATGCATCGGTTTGCTGGATGGACACACGGCCTCAGTTCGCACGTTGCAAGTGGACGACAACTTCCTCGCAACCGGCGGCATGGACGCTACGATTCGACTTTGGGACTTGAGCAAGGCACACTACGATCCCCACGGAAGCCAGTACGGAAGGGACGAAGATGAAGACGGCATCGCATTTGAGAACCCCGACGATGGACCGGTCGAGCCTCCTGAAGGAAGCATGAGAGACTGCCATCTCTACACCCTGCAATCCCATGTCGACGAAATCACGGCGCTCCACTTCAGAAATGACACGCTCGTGTCCGGCTCGGCAGACAAGACGTTGCGACACTGGGATCTCGAAAAGGGCCGATGCGTCCAGACTCTGGACGTTATGTGGGCGGCAGCGCAGGCATCCGCGTCTCTCGGCAGTGAAAGCTCCTGGAGGCAGACGAATCGGGCACCCGCACAGCAAGCCGATTTCATAGGTGCGCTTCAAGTCTTCGAGACTGCTCTTGCGTGCGGTACTGCCGATGGCATGGTTCGATTGTGGGATTTGCGAAGCGGACAGGTTCACCGAAGCCTAGTGGGACACACAGGACCGGTGACCTGCTTGCAATTCGATGATGTTCACCTCGTGACTGGTAGCATGGACAGGAGCATTAGAGTGAGTTTGGTCCCGTTCTAAGCTAGGGCATCGCTAACCATCAACAGATCTGGGATCTCCGTACAGGGTCTATATATGACGCCTATGCGTACGATAACGCCATCACAAGCATGATGTTTGATGAGCGGAGAATCGTCAGCGCAGCAGGCGAGGACGTGGTGAAGGTGTACGATAAGGTGGAAGGCCGGCAATGGGACTGCGGCGCGGGCATCTCCGAGGCCGAAGAGGGCAAGACGCCGGCCGTTGTGGAGCGTGTACGTGTCAAGGACGGCTACCTGGTTGAGGGACGACAGGACGGTATTGTAGGAGTATGGACATGTTAGAGTATACAGAACCTCCTTTCAACAGAGCGAATTCAACGCGATTATGACACAGGCAGAGGATGCGAAAGGAATGTCTCAATCATATGCTGAGGAGATGTGATGAGGTGGTCTATGTTTATATCTGGACGTCATAATGTCAAGGTCTATAAACAACCCCCTTTTAGTCCCCTTTTTTGACTTTGGGAAGGCGACTGATTGAAGCCAATTGTGTTCATCCGACATGCTCCCGAGCTAAAATGCAGGACGCAGTTGTCATCATCAGACGAGACCCGCTCAGCCAAACAACTCCAACTCTTTTTTTTTTTTTGGGCCTTTGCACAATTGGCCAAGCTTCAACAACCATCCACCTGCCATCCAACTCATGACTGATTCCACGCCCAGCTTCTTTAACATCGCATCACCTCAAATCAAAAACAGGCAAAGCGAGGGAAAAAAAGGAGAGGGAGGGAAGATATAAAAAGGGTCCCAAAAGAGGGAGCCGAAATGTCCATCCTTGATAACCCCGCCCTCATCGCAGAGTGCAGCGAAACAGCGGTATCAATCCACTCCGACGTCATCGGCCACCTCCGCGCCGGGTCTTCGCTTCGGTACTCTGCTTCTGAGTCGTCTTCGCACCCGGAAGCGCGAGTCGAGAGCGATGCGGAGCGCGGGTTGGGGCCCGTTGGAGAGGAGATCTTGAGGGTTGTGGAGGGGTTGGCTTTTGAGGTTTTGGGGCTGCGCGCGTCGGTGGGGGGTTGTTTGGATGGGGATGACCTTGCATCAACATCAAGACAACCACGACCACCACTGTCGTCGGGACCGGAGGCGGAGCAGGAGAAAGAGGAGAAGGAGGAAGAGTCTGTGATTGCTCGCCTCGACGCAGAGATTGAGCGGACCTACCGCCGGTTTTATGACTACGTCTACGCGGACCTGCCGTTTTGTTGGAGGTTATTGTATACGGAGCTGAGTCTGCTCAAGTTTTCGGCGGTGGCGTTTTTGTATTATGCCAAGAGGGCGGGGAGGGGTCGGGAGGGAGGTGGGAGGAAGCGGGGTGGGAAGATGGATGAGGAGAATGAAGGGAAAGAGGACGAGGGCGAGGACGAGGGCGAGGACGAGGGGAAAGTGCTGGATGAGCTCGTCGCCGTGCTGGATAAGGCGCTCATCCTCGCAGGCGGGGCGGGATTGAAGCGTGGAAGGAGGACGATTTCGAGGTTGCTTGGGTACTTGGACGACGCGCGGCTGATACCACCGTCTTCGTTGGGTTCCCCTCTCCCGGCGAAGTTCCCTTCTTCGGGCACATTTACGCCGCCTGTTGAGCGGCCTATTCGCGTCGTGGATCGTGTGTCCATGTCGGCTTTTCAAGCGTACCTGGACGGCCGGCCTCGCCCGGAGAAGAAGGCAGACGAAAACGGGAACCTGGATCTGGACTTGGGGCCGGAGCCGTTGGTCCTAACGTCGCTGATGAACGATTGGCCTGCGCTCTCCACGAGACCGTGGTCTTCGCCTGCGTATTTGATGTCCAGGACGCACGGCGGGCGGAGACTTGTGCCGGTGGAGGTTGGACGGAGTTATGTTGACGAGGGGTGGACGCAGGAGTTGATTCCGTTTCGGGAGTTGGTGGCGCGCGTCGTTGCGTCTGCTTCGCCATCTACTACACCAACGACGACAATATCAACACACACAACGACAAGGACAGGACCAGAGCCAGGACCGGAAAAGGCAACGACATACCTCGCCCAACACGAACTCTTTGCACAGCTCCCGCACCTGCTAAACGACATACTCACGCCGGACCACTGCTTCACCTCGCCGCCGGCGCACCCTTTCGACAAGACTGCAAACAAGCCGGAGCTGGATGTGCCGCTTGTGAATGCGTGGTTTGGACCGCCGGGGACGATTACGCCGTTGCATACGGATGGGTATCATAATCTGCTGTGTCAGGTTGTCGGGGAGAAGTATTTGCGGTTATATGCGCCGCGGGATTCGGAGGCGTTGTGTCCTAGGGGGTTTGATGATGATGATGATGAAGATGCTGAGGGAGATGGGGAAGAAGGAGAAGCAGAGGATGAGAGGGGTGACAAGGGCGTCAAGAAGGTGGACATGAGTAACACCAGCGCCTTTGACGTCGGCGCCGTGGAGGGCTGGGACCCGGACACGGAGGGTCGCGATCCGATGGAGCTCGAGGAGTTTCGCGGCCTGCGGTACTGGGATTGCGTGCTGGGGCCCGGGGAGGTGTTGTATATTCCCATCGGGTGGTGGCACTACGTCCGCAGTCTGAGTGTGAGTTTCAGCGTGAGCTTTTGGTGGAATGGGGATCATTATGTTGGTCCGGAGGACGAGGAGAGCAGATGATTGAAATCACATCTTGAGGGAGGGCTGAGTCTAGGTGAGGTGTTTACTTTTATAGCTTGAGAAGAGATACCCCCTGTGAGAGAGGTATAACAAGCCTCCGATTCCTATTTTCATTCCATCATGTCATCTACGTCAACTGTTCTTCATCAAGGAGGGAGAACTACAGTATCAACTCGCAGCAGCAGCAGCAGCAGCAGCAGCCTCATCCGCCTCGGCACTCTCCCCTGCCCCCCCTTGCGCCTGACGCCTCGCCTTGGCACCAGCTTTCAACTTCTCCCACTTTTCGCGATACTTTTCTAGCGTCCGCGCCATTGTGCGGTTCTCCTTCTCCAGCGCCTCCATGCGCTGCATCGCCATGGCCATCTGCTCTTCCAACTCCTTGTTCCGCGCCTTTAACACGGTGTCGGTACTCGACATGCCGACGCCAGCACCAGCACCACCACCGGTAGTAAAAGGGGTAGCGGTCACCCCCGCTGACGCAGGCGACCCAGGCCGTCGAAGACGAATACTCTCCGCCAGCGCCAGACTCGAATTCTGCGCTGTGGCCTCGAAGGCGTGGAGCCGCTTGCTGAGCTTGTCGAGCATGTCTTTGAGGCCCCTGTTTTCGAGGTAGAGTTCCTCGACTGTGTTTTTGAGGTTCTGTTCTGTCCGAGGTTTGGCGTTGCGTCTTCGGACGCCGGGGGAGGTTGGCGCCATCACGGACGGAGACTCGCGCGCGTCGACAAAGTCGTCTTCGTCGTCTTCGATGAGGCTGTCACCTGCGCCGCTGCCGCCTCCGCCTCCGCCTCCACCGAGGCCGCTGTGGAGCGAGGCCTCGAGGCGGCGCTTCTCCTTGTCTGCAAAGTTGAGGATGTTGGCGTAGGACATTGTGTGCCCGCTCGTCGGGACGACGTAGAAGGAGTCGTTGGGGTTGTTTGCCGAGATTGCGCGGAGGGTGGCGCGGGAGTAGATTTTTGAGAGGTCTGGTTCGGCGGGGGCGGCTGGGGAGAGTTTGAGTCTGTTGCGCTTTGCCGGGGCCGGTTCTGCGGGCGGTTCGACGGGTCCTGGGATGGAAGATGAGGTGGACGAAGAAGATTCTTCGGTGATGAGGGGTAGGCCTGCGAACGCGAGGGGCGCGGAGAGGCGGTTGATGATGTTGCCAAAGGTGCTGTAGAAGCGGGAGTATCCGTCGTCGCTGGCCGGCGAGGCGACTTCTTCCGTCTTTTTGGGTTCGGATTCCCTTCGTGGGGAGTCGTTGGTGCCGGTTGGGGGGATCCAGCCTGGTTTGCCGGACCGGTCGAGGACGTTTTGCATCTTTGTCCTCGATCCGTCTCTGCGGGCTTGGACTTCCATGTTGCCCGGCGCCTGGTCGTTTGTAACGCTCGGCGGGATGGGCTGGCTCCGGTTTCTGCTTCCGCGGATGCCTCGCGCCGAGGCGAGGTTGCTCGCGATTGAAGAGGTCATTTCGCGGCTCGGGTACCGGCGCTGTTGCGCCGCCAGGGACGGAACTCCCTTTACGGTAGCAACTGGGCTGCCGGCGCCGGTGGGCTGCTGGCCTGATCCGGACTTGGTACGACCATCATCGGGTGAGGAAGCATCGCTCGTGGCATCGGAGGCTTGCGATTCCTGCTTCTCGTCGATGGTCTCGGAGGAGGGGTTCTGACTAGCGGCGGCGGCGCGACGGTCATAGGGTATCTTTAGGAGTTCGGCGAGGCGCTGGTGGTGTTCTTCGAGGAGCTTTAGGGTGCGCAAGGCCTCGATGCTCGAGGTCGCGCGAGCGGCGTTGGCAAACTCGCCGGCGGCGAGGGCGTGTTCGTTGATTGCTACCGTCGTCTCGGACTGGTGTTGGGCGTTGGAGGCTGCTTTGGCGTGGTCATGCGCCTAAGGTGGTTAATTGTTGTTAGAACAGGTACTAGACATTGTTTCACATTTGCCTTTGAAAGGTTGAGGTTACCTTGACTAGCGAAGATTCGTCCATCGCAAAAGAACTATAGGCAGCAGGTAGGCTGCCGGTGATGTGTCAAGGGACGGTGCCGGTGCCTGTTCCGGATCGGAGGAAGTTGGGGGTGGTTTCTAGTCCAAGTCGGCTGTCCGCACGTTTGCTTCTGGATCACACGCCCGCCTGAGACCGGTGCAGACGGTGGTAGGTAGGGGAGGCAAGTGGAGGGATGTACGGACATGCGCCGATGGAGGTACGGAGGAGGTCCAACGAACCGGCCTTTGATGTTCGGTAGCCGGTGGTTGGGTCGCGTGTTGCGGTCGCGGAGGTTTCCCCAGAGTCGCTAAGAGATGCCCCCCCCCGCTTGTTCACTTCTCCGGTTGCAGTCAGGTGGGAAGTGGACAATGAGTGCGCACTGCGGGAGGGACGATGCTTGGTGGTCACTGGTACGCTTCCAGTTAGGTAGAAGGGGCTAAAGAGGGCCTGGATGGGCCGGTTAGAGTACGTAAGCTTTTCGCTCGCCAAAGCGTCTTCTTCCCGCTGGTGGCCACCCACGCACCTTGCCAAAATTGTAAAGGTCAAAAGGAAGCGAAGAGACCAATCCCACGTCACCAGGTGCTAGTAATTGCCTCAAGCGACTTGCTGGAAGCTAGCTTTATCAACTCCAACTAATGACATCTCGATGATGTTGCTAGTGAATTCAAAAGAGACTTCAGACGGCTTTTGTGAGGAGAGGCCAGTCCTGCTGTACCACAGCACGGCACATAATACAAAGCACCGAAACAATCAAGCAGGTCATTATACTGTACAGATAGGTATTTGCATTCAACATTATCAAAGTATTCAAGCCACCAATCGTCACTTGCATTGTCAAATACATTATGTTGATTAACAGTCAAGCAATAGCAGCGCGACGTCTGGAAGGTTAGTAGGAAGTGAGTGACTTTGTCAATCTAGACTGGAACAATGACAGCAAGCGGCGCAACTGAGACAGACCAACATTCAGAGAGATTCTGGATGACGCAAAATGCATGTCAAAGAAACCCAGGAACTTGGGCATCGTGTATGCGAGTGTTGGAAACTGGGTGTGCTGTGGCTGCCAACTGTCCCGCCCTAACAATCGGGCGAGAGGGACATTGTCCAATATCCAGTTGCGCGGTGTCTCGTCGCTCTAGAGACGAGCCTATCATGATGAAGGAGGAAGAAGGGCCACTGCACGCCGTAAGCCGTAACCCGCAAGACACAATTCGCACTTGCAGAGAGGCCCCTGACGTAGGTATGGTTCCCCCCAAGCCAGCACCTGATCCAAACGGACAACCCAACGGCCACAACCGTCCCGAATCGGGCCAGCCATCGAAACCTTGCTGGGAAACCCATCTGCGAATCTGCCAGACGTGCATGCATCGCCAGGAGGAGGAGCGCAGACTGGGCGGCCTGGGTCGGGCTGAGTGGGTGAGAAAGGTGGGATGAAAGGCTCCGGGCCAGCCGTTGATACGCTGGTTGGGATCTGCTGGTCTCTCTGGTTCGACCTACGCCAGAGACCATGTGGTGATGGTGCATCCGGCTAGAGTGGAATGGGAGCTGGCCGGCCGGTGGTGAGATGTGATCTGAGCCGAGGCGGGAGTCGGAAACTCAGGAGATGATACTTGTTCCTGTTAAGGGCCGGGGCAGTCACAGCCGGGCAGTCAGCCACAGCCTCCTGGGTCCTGGGGAGATTGACTTTGGGAGCATCTGGCGGAATCATCCCGATGCAGGTCCTAGGTCCCAGGCGCAATTCCAAGGTGGAAACGTCATGGGCTGGTAGGCTGGCTGGCGTGAGGATGGAATGGGGATTGCATTTTGGGATTGCGCAGTCGCCAATAGATCCACCGAAAAAGAGATGCCAATGAACAAAAATAGCAGCGCAGTGTCTTTCCCGGATCACGGGTGGCGGGCGTCGAATAATGCAGCAATAACATGGTATACTCCGTATATGGGTGGCTCCATTGAGGCTGGCCAGATTGACGGCCCCAGATTCCCGATTCTGAGGGTTCCAGGCCGCTCGTAATAATGGACCGTTTTCGGGAAGCGGGCAGATGGAAGCAATCGGGGGTTATGCCAATCATCAATGTGAGTGTGCACTTGGTTATTTTGAGGGTTATGAGGAGAGGATTATGAGGATGTGAGAACTAGGTGGAGGGGATGATACCTTGCTGTGGACGGAGTAAGGTACATGGGCTTCTGTAATGGGGATGCACTAACACTTGGAGGTACCCCTTGGGCCCTTCCGTTTCAAGCCAAGGAAGGAAGGAGGAAAGGTGCCGGCCTGGCCCAGGAACTTGCCTCGCCTCCAGTGACGATGACGCTCTTCGTGGAAAGAGAGCTCCGGCTTGGGGTTCTTTCCTCGGCCAGCCGCCAGAATGGAAAACTGACGACTTCGGGAGGTACGAAAGGTACGAATAGAAATCAAGGTGGCAACCACCTGGAACCTGGGGAGTTCCTTCCTTCTCGGATTTTCACTTCATTTTCTCATTTGGGATCCTCGGCTCCGGCAGCGTCTCCAAAGAGATTGCAAACTTACCATTTTCCGTGAAGTGCGAACCGATCTTTGCTCTCTCTCTCTCTCTCACCCATGGCCTGACCCATTCATTCATACATATACACCTTTTCATGTTTGCACGTTGCATTTGCACCACCTCCCCCAAGCAAGAAACAACATTAAACGGAGCCCCGTCTGCATCGCATAAACTCGAAAACCGTCACAACATCTGCGGCTTCGTTTCCAAATAATTCCCCGTCATACACAAACAATACACCAGGTCCACGGTCTACCCCTACCTCGCATCGCACCTCCCTACGGATCCTCTCCAAGCTTGTCTTGTCTTCTCGACTTTAATTTCCATACTGCCAATTCCCTGCACCCGCGGACCATGATCATCGTGCCCACTCTTCGCAACCAATGCGCGTATAGTCTTTGACAGCACCAATCCGCCAGACTGCAGACGCACATTGCTCGGGAAAGAGTACGATAATTACGAGCTTCAACGACCCCAGGAAATCAACACCTTATCATCCTAGGAAGCCATGGACGGCGCCACTGAAAGCGGAGGAGGTCTGAGCAAGCTGCTGCCAAAGTCAATCGCAGCCAAGCGCCGCCGCAGAAAACAAGAAGCCCAAGAAGATGAAGCCGCTGCCGCAACGGCCGCTTTGCTGATAGGGGTCAAGGGGGAAGATGTTACCGCTCCAGCTGTTACGCCTGCACCACTCAGAGACGATGATGCCAGCCATCTGTCCAACAGACGCGACAGCGGCTCTTACGTCCATGACACGGACAGCTTTGTTGGATTTGGAAAAGACGGCTCGACAGGGTTTCCCGACTACGACTACGACCACTACAACGAGCACGGCCACGCCGCCCACGACACCCGCGACGCGGACGAGGCCAGCACCGAAGCCACAAGCATGCTGTCGCTGGAAGACCCTGAATTTGACGATCATCAGTGAGTAATATTGCCTTTTCCCGCATGTTTTGTCTCTCTTCATCTCTACTGGTTGCTTCCATCATTTCCTGCTTATTCCTTATCCCGTCTTACCCATCTTACCTTACCTACCTTGTACTACTACTGTATGCACATGGTTGGGGCTTCTCTGCACCCTCATCCTTCAATCTTCCCACCACCTTACATATGTATGCATCCGAGCGCACTTGTTCCGTGCTCTTCACCACCTCACAAGGCCACGTCTTTTCGCATGGCGCATTCCCCCCAGTGGTCAAAATCGTCACTGGCGTCTCCATCGAATGACGAGGCGAGCTACGAATACCTACCTAGCTACTATCCGTACCACGGGTGCTACGCAACTCGGCCCCAGTCTGCTGGCACAACCCGCAACGGCGCCGTCTCTCTTTTGTGCATATCAAGTGGAGAGACAGAGAAAGGACAGCGGGCTTAGCGTCCGTAGTAGGCTGCTCTGGCCATCCTTGGTCTGACAGTTCTCACTGGTCCGGGGGGTTCTGGGACTGGGAGACTAGGAGACTAGGAGGGGAGAGGGGGGCTGATACGCCGCCCTCCTTCTCCTGTGCTCTCTCTCTGCTCCATGGCCCATGGGTCTCAGCTCCCCCTCATCCACTCTCTGCCGCAATCGCCGTATGACAGCTGCCTGGGGGTCCCTTCAGCACATTTAACTCGTGTCCCTGACGAATGTTCCATTTCAAGCGAGTGCGAACAAACGGGGTCAGGGTCGTCCATGTCTCCCCCGACCACCTCCTACTACTGTTTCGTCTCTTCATGTAACCATCCGTACGGAGTACAGTACCAAGTATCTAACCACGACGACTTCCGCCCCCTCTCATTAGATCTTTCTCTCAGCACTCTCGACCAAGTGCCATATCGACACATCCTTCGCAAATAGGTTACTTGACCACTTCTTCCCCTATCGTTCAGGCAACCCACTTGCCTGAACCCCAACCTCAGATACTGGACGACCAACTCTCCCAGATCGCCTCGGCGCGATCCACTCTCTCTGCCAAGCGGACGCAATCCGTCGAATCGTCGACAGATTCGTCTCTGCGCTCCAAACGCAGTTTCACAAGTCTTGTGCCACCCAAGAAAAACACCACGAGATCGCCATCCCCCGTTGGCCGTCTCAAAGGTGTTTTTACAAAGTCAAAAAAGACTCCCAGTGCCGCCACGAGCCCTGACCGGTCCCTGGGCGGTGACGAAACCCCCGACCACGACCGAGACACGCGGAGAACTAGAGACCGAGGTAGAGCCACTGCTTCCACCTCTGACCTCACCACAACCACAAAGCCGTTTCTAGACAGTTCGACCGCGCCACAACCGAATGCGACCACCGACGCAGATGCATCTCGCGTAAAACAATCAACAACGCAATCCCCTGAGCGACGTCGCTCCAGGGCCTCCACGAACACCTCACGAATCGACACCTCCTTCGTACCCCAAACCCCGCCCAACGCCGACAAGACGCCCGTCATCGTCAATACCCCTCCGACGCCGACCGACCACAACGCACCCTACGCTCAATCACCTCCGCCGGCCCCAGCTCCGCAGCCCGCTCCCGAGGTCTCTGTCACTGCCTCAGGCAACACGAATGGTGGTTCTGCCACGGGTAGTATGCTTGCTCACCGCAGGGGTAGATCAGGATCTGGAAGTTTAGGACCAAGCAAACTGTCCAACATAACCCTCGCGCCTTTGACGCCCACCCCCGAGAACGGGACCGCAAGCAACCCAGGAACTCCATCTGGCGGAAGCGGCTTCTTTTCATCCGTCCTCTCGGCTGCGCAAAACGCCGCGACCTCGCTCACAAGTACCATCCAGAATACCGGAATAGGACCGACCCCTCCCAAGAACAAGAACGTGGGCAAACCCCCCGATATCAAGATCGACGAGCAACCCGAGGTCGAGCCGCCGCCTCCATCCGCAACAGGTTCGACCATGGAGAAAGAGCCTGCAGTCAAGACCATTGGGTCGGGCGAGCTGAGCCTCAGTCAATTAGGTATAACAGACACAGCCAGCAATGCAGGAACGCCCATTACAGCAAAATTCCCCGAATCGGACGCACGAGCTAGAAGCGAGTCAGCTCCGACTGACGCTGCCTATGCCGCTGCCACACGCGACCTCGGAGTAGATGACGGCCGAAACGCGGCGAGACCCCAATCACTGTACGATCCAGGAAGCACCGGCGACCGAACCCCTCCGCAGGGCAGCATCCACGAGGACAAGATTTCCGGAGTCCAGCGCAGTGGAAGTATTCGAAGCGCCATTGGACGCCATCGCAAGCGAGGAAGCTCAGCTGTGTCGGGAGGTACGGCTACTACTATTGGCGCTGCCATTGCTGCGGCTAACGCGTCTCTTGCTCACCCTCAAGCCAACGCGAGCGTACCGAAACTTACTGGATTTGCGGTTGCGAGCAAGAAGCGCAACCGAGATTTCCATGGATTTTTCAAGAGCGTGCCCGACGACGATTACCTCATCGAAGACTACAGCTGTGCGTTGCAGCGCGAGATCCTGGCGCACGGCCGCCTATACGTATCCGAAGGCCACTTGTGCTTTAGCAGCAACATCCTCGGCTGGTCGACCACGCTCGTCATGAGCTTTGACGAAATAGTAAGCGTCGAGAAGCGTAGCACGGCCCTGGTCTTCAAGAACGGACTCATGATTTCGACCCTCCACGCCAAGCATATTTTTGCCAGTTTTACCAGTCGAGACTCGACTTACGATCTGATTGTCAACATTTGGAAACTCGGACACCCGACCTTACAAAGCTCGCTGAACGGAGTGCAGTTGGAGGGTACTGGTGGTGATAAGACAGAAAAGGTTGACGCGAATAGTGCTGTGGTAGCAGAAGTTGATGATGGTAGTTTGTCCGGCACCGATGAGGAGAGTGACTCTGGCGACGACGACGACGTTTACGACGAAGACGATGATGCGGAAGACTTGCAAGATGTCACCCAACTGTCAGAAGTTAACGCTGAGCCTGATGGCGGAAAGACAGTATCTCGCAAGGTATCTGGTGCAGGTGCTAATGGCGCTGTCGCCGATGCCGTCAAGGAGGCTGTCGGTGCTGCTCCTGGTGGCAATGATTTTCCCGGCCCGGCCACTCATGCGGCGACAGACTGCGGAGACTCTGATACGCATTACGACAGGGTTGTCGGCGACGACGTTATCCCTGCGCCTCTGGGCAAGGTGTACAACTTACTCTTCGGTCCAGCATCGGTCACTTGGATGACCAAATGGCTTACTGTTGAGGCCAAGTGCACAGAACTGACTATGGAGGACAAGAAGGGGCTGACTCTCGATAACAAATCTCGATATTTCACCTACATCAAGCCACTCAATGGAGCCATTGGCCCAAGGCAGACAAAATGTCTTGTTACGGAGACTTTGGATCATCTGGACTTTGAGAAAGCCATCAATTTTAGCGTCACCACACAAACCCCCGATGTGCCGAACGGCAACATTTTCAGCGTCAAGACGAAGTATTGTTTGACGTGGGCCGACAACAACTCTACCAGAGTGCAATCCAACTGCACTATCGAGTGGACGGGCAAGAGTTGGTTGAAGGGTGAGTGCCGAAGACTTGGCTGACTTCAATGACACGAGCTAACATGATGAAGGTCCTATTGAAAAGGGAGCAAACGATGGTCAGACTCAGTACTGCAAAGACCTCTTCGCCAGTCTGAAATCGGCTGTATCTACCAAAGCCCGCGCAGGCGGTGCGGGAGCGGGCTCAGGCCCCAAGGGCAAGAAGAAGAGCAAGAAGAGCAAGGCGGCAGGCTCAACAACGGATGCTGAAGACGAGCAGGTCCGGCCCAAACATGTTCCCAAGACGGATTGGGGTCCATTGGAGCCTGTGCGAGGCATTCTCGAGCCAATCCTGGACATTGCCAAACCACTTCTCACGGGCAACATGATGTACGGTCTCCTAGTTGGTCTCCTCGTTGCGACGTGGTTCGGCTTTGGCCTGCCCGGTAGACAAGCATCTGGAGACATGCGCATGTACGGTTACCCGGATCGTCTTGCGGCGTACGACGAGATGTGGAGACGCGAAGAAAGTGAACTCTGGGAGTGGCTGGAGGAGAGAGTCGGATTGGAGCGCCTGCATGATGGCAACTTGCCCACGCGAAAGCGGGCAATGGAGCCGAGCACGGCGGAGGAGAGGGTCAGAGAGGACCGCATGGATGAGCGGGAGATCGAAGAGGCAATCAAGGTGACGGAAGAGAAGCTTAAGGTGTTGAAGGGCGTCATGGACAAGAAGAAGCCAACATCCGGTTGAGGAAATACCCTGGGAACGGGAGGCGGAAAAGTTGCAGCAAGTCAGGTTACGGCACGACACAACGTGTCTTCTCATTTCTATGTTTTATTGTGTAGCATATTCAGTAGCGATGCCAACGAGCAATCAGGGCTTGAGTAGATCAGCATCAGCAATGTCATTTTATACCGACAAAACCTACATGTCAGTCTTGCCGTGAGGTCTTTTAGGGTGGCATTAGTCGCTGGAGTCAGTGCTCTGAAACCCGCTGACTGACTCATGATAAGTTATCACATGGCATCTTTACCATCTCTGGGAAGAGAAGTACTGTGATTCGGCGTAGGTATTCAAGCTTGTGTGGGTGTTTTGAAGCTCTTGCATGATTGGAAGGTGAGTAAGGTGAGGTTACCCGGCATTGAGAATGCCATCTGGTATCTCGAACGACAGGCCTACGTGATGCTTGTTGTCTTTCCGACTGGCTGCCGTTATAAGGCTCGACTCTGCCTTCGTTCCACTCCATCTATGATGTACCTACTGCTCGTCGAAGAGATTTTTTTGTTTTCGTGATGCCTAGTCCAAGTGGGCCAGTGTCTCGTTGATCTGGTCTGGACGGTTTCTGAACCTGAGGGTTCTAGGTGCAATGAAATGTTGGAAGAGAAGTTGTGAGGTGTAGTTGCGAGGGTGGAGCTAACGTGATACTATTATAGACGCCTCTGTATTACTACGAATACTCTAGTACTGGTCAAAGGTCGTTAGCGATGTAAAGACATCGTTTAGCTAACTCTGGTTATGCTTCGTCATTGATGTATTCACAGGTGTTAGCTCAGAGATTGAGCCGACATTGATCAAAGGTAATCCAACTGATCGATCTGTAGAAGTCGATTCGGCCAAGATCTTCGCGTTTCGGCCCTTACGGCCTGGCAGTGTAGGCTCGAAGACCTGACAGGAGAAAGTACTGATAAATATGACTGAACGAGTGTTTGATAACACGCCGAGGCAGTTTGACATAAAAATGAACTGTATCCCCCTTCTCCCATCAAACATCAACTATGTATGGGGCTAGTGATATTCGTTTATGAAGGGAAGTTTTCTGATGGGCAGTAAAGGGCCAAAGACTGTCTCATCTTTGCCTGGTTCGAAGGACGAGACATAGAAGAATGTTGCCTGCTCCAGAGCCTTCGAATACATCAGTCAAGTCATTGTGCCCCGGTAAAAGTGCATCTCCATGGCCTCTTTCTGCCTGACTTTCTCACTTTTTGCCGGCAGTGGGCACGCCATACGGCGGGTCACCTCCCCTTTGTCCTGAGGAATCCGCTCTTCGTTCTGACATAATTGTCCACCCGACCTAGAAGGTATGCCTCTGCCTCCTTCCCTTTGAACAACAGGTACTGGCCTGTCTCCATCTTATCTTATTTTTCCTCCCACAAAACTCGAGGATTCAACTTGCCCTCGTCAACCACGGCAACCTAGCCATCTTCCTTCGCTCACTGCCCAAGATTGTCTCAAGTTTGTTCTTCGTACCCTGATTCCTTTCCCACTACTCCATTCCCTTTATTTACTAACCGATCTCTCTGGTACCAGCGAAAATCCACAGAGAGAGTGAACATGGGAGACAACCACAACGTCGGCGACTCTGCTTACGAGTCGCTCGGCGATGATGCGTTCTCGCGGACCATCGACAAACTCCGCGAGCTCGGCATCGCCGACCTGGTCCCCCTTCCGCAACTTGTTATGGTCGGTGACCAGTCTTCGGGCAAGAGTTCTGTCCTGGAGAGCGTGACAGGCTTCGCCTTCCCTCGCGCTCCCGAGCTCTGCACCCGCTACGCGACCCAGATCACTTGTCGCCGCGATGATTTCGAGAGTGTTCGGATTTCCATCATTCCAAGCCAGGACTCCGACGAGGATCGGAAGGAGTGACTGGAAAAGCTCGCGTTCTTTCATGAGAATATGGAGAAGGACGACTTCGCGTGGGCGGTAGTCTTTTCAAAGGTAAGTAGAAGCCCCCTTCGGATGCTACAGTTTTGATGCTGATGGGTACTATCTTCCTTAGGCAAACGAAGCAATGGGACTTCGCGGTGTTAATGATGGAGATGGTTCGAAGCTTTCGACCTTTGCCGAAGACATTCTCGAGATTGAGATCAACGGCCCAGACGTACGTTCAAATTTGACGTTGTCTGTTCATGAAACTTGCTGACCATGCAATGCCAGCAACACCACTTGACCGTCATTGACGTCCCGGGTATTTTCCGCACGTCTACAAAGGGCCTGACCACCGATAATGACATTGTCATCGTCAGGAACATGGTCAACAGATACATCAAAGATCAGCGCACCATCATCTTGGCAGTCATCCCTTGCAATGTCGACATTGCGACGCAGGAGGTTCTCACCCTTGCCGAAGAGGTTGATCCAGAGGGACTTCGAACCATGGGTGTTCTTACCAAACCCGATCTTGCCACCGAGCGCGCCACTCAGCAGATCGTATGCGAGCTTGTTGAGGGTGAACGCCACTCCCTGCGCCTCGGATACTGCGTGGTGAAGAACCTCAGTGCGGATAATAGCACCTCGACAATGACTGATCGCAACTCATCGGAGAAGGCGTTCTTCTCTGCTAGTCCTTGGTCCAGACTCAGATCGACGAACCGGGTTGGCGTTGGCAGCCTCGCTATCCGTCTGCGTGACTTGCTGCGCGACCTCTCCAAGAAGGAATTCAATAACGTCAAGGCCGAAATCCAGCGCATGCTTGACGAGAGTGAGACCGAACTCAAGCGTATGGGACCTTCACGGTCTCGACCGGATGCTCAGAGAAGATACCTTGGCCGGATTGCGTCAGATTTCCAGGAGGCCGCTCTCCGAGCTCGCGACGGACATTACGATGGAATGGACATGTTCGGCCAGGACGTAAGGTTTCGACTCATCACACGCATTGTCAATCTGAATGAGACTTTCAATAAGGTCTTCACCTTGTATGGTCATACACTACAGTTTGACGGGCAAGACCAGGAGAAAGTCGGTCCTGGCTCTGTGTTGAATCTGAATATGGGCCCGAAGTCAGGTCGTTCCGTCAGCGATATGCTGGAGCATATGGATTTTCAATGCCCCAAGCCGTTAGATGACTCGCTTTTGAGCCGCATCGAAGCTCTATTCCACCGATCTCGCACCGCCGAAATTGGCTCGGTGAGTCCGCATTCTGACAGGATATCATACTCAGCACTAACAAAAGTCTAGTTCCCAGGCTCATTGCTAGCTCAGGCCTTCAAAGAGCAGACACAGAAGTGGGAGCCACTGGTCTTGAAATATGTTAGCCAGGCGATCGTAATCGTCCAAGAGTTCATTCTCAGGACACTGCGACTCAAGTGTACCGACAGAAACACATTTGAAATGTTGCATGACCACCTTCTGTTGCCCAAGCTCCGTGCAGCTTATCAGCGAGCTTTAGATCACGCTCACTTCCTCCTTGAAGTCGAGCTTAGCGGACAGCCCTACACCATGAACCATTACTTCAACAGCAATCTTCAAGTGTCGCAGACCACTAGACTCCAGGAAGCGATTAACAAGGCCGTTGGCCCGGCGAGCGTCTACAACGCCCATGGCACTGTTGCAAGTAGCCCGAGTACTAACACAAGTCCGGTTTTCGGAGTTCCCACAGCTGCGACTCCCAGGGCGGGCGCCTGGATATCTGGGAGCGAACAACAACGGGAACCCCTTCGATTTTACCACTCAACAAAACACCGGGTCTTCCGGAGCTGCAGGCTGGTGGGTGTCAAAGTCGACGCTCTCCAAGCTCACAACCGATCGCTCCAACGCTGAGCAGGTCAAAGAGGATGTCCATGACACCCTCCGTAGCTACTACAAGGTCGCTCGGAAGCGATTCGTTGATGTTGTGCTGCAGCTGGTCATCTTTCACTTCTTGCTTGATTCCAAGACTGGCCCTCTCAAGATCTTCACCCCTGACCTGGTCATGGGCTTGGATGACAAGCAGCTACAGATGATTGCCGGAGAGGATACGGCGACGCGGGTTAGACGCGAGGTTCTTACTCGAAACGTTGAGAACTTGAAGCCGTATGTCTGGCGATTTCCAGTCCCGAAAAACATGATTTGCTTGGTGGATATGTTGTCTTCGTCGTTGCTGTTGCTGTGGTGGTTGTGGTTGTGAGACTGTCCGGTACTAGCATAGCGGTGTGCCGGGGCGAAGAACAAATTAGCCGTATAAATTATTGCATTCCCTAGTGCGTACTCACGCAATTCAGAGAAGAACGAGTTGTACTGCCTAGTCCAGTGGGCTAGTTGTTTCGATTTGTTGGTTTGATGTGTGTGGTTGAGGTTCGAAGTACAGCATTGCAGAGGGGAAGCTGTGAATCGCAGTCGAGGGTAAAAACTTGCTAACCAATCCCACAACTCTCCTACCTTATATTCTTCACGGAATACACTTGAAGAAGTTAATGGGCATAGGTAAGAGATGATAATAATTTCAATTTGAACAGTAGTAGTTTTATTTATTTGTTTATTTAACGCCGGTTCTAAAAGGAAGGGGGCACCCGATCATTGACCTCAGAGCGACAGCTCGTATGAAGATGACGTTGTCGTGGGATACAACAATCCTGGATACGACGGGTCTGATTACGGAGATCTGAAAGACAACTTGAGCGATAGAGCAGCTTCTGACGCCATCGAGACTGAACACGGACCTATGTTTTGTTCAGTAGTGTCTTGTGGTGGAATGGCATGCATCTGTCTTTGAGTTTCTACGCCGGGCAGAGAACCCAGATAGTCTTGCACCCTATAGGTCAGCTATGTTGTCTGATGTCTCAGTGTGGCGTAATTCTTTTTACGAAGCTGTGCACTCCAAGTTGTCTTTGTGTAATATCAAACTCTAAACCAAAGTGTCAGTTCTCCGGGTACCAAAGTTTCATCAGACATGTGTCAATTACTATCCTATTGCGAACCAGTCGACGAAAAGGCAACTATGCCGACCTCATCTCTCTTCTCAAAAAGACGTGAAGCGCAACATACGACACCACACCCGTAAAACACAATCCACTAATAACCCCAAACCCCATCAGATACTTTGGCGCATCCTTGGAAGGGAAAAGGTACGCCCCGTAAATCTGCGCCAGATTACCCATGGCATTCACAAACGCCAACGAAATGGCCCTCGTCTCGTTGGGCATGGACCCGAAGCTCACAGAGGCATACGACAGCGCCAACCCATTCGAGGCCCAGAGCCCGGACGCCATGATGACCAGCAGCGCGTACCGCGCCTTGAAGTCGTAGACGACGCAGGTGGTGACGGCGCAGAGCATGGCGACGGTCATCCAGGCGCCGAGGATGAGGCCGCGGAAGCGGGAGTGCCGGTCGGCGAAGTAGCCCGTCACGGCGGTGGAGACGAAGGCGATGCCGAAGATGGGGATTGTCATGTATTGGGCGGTTGTGGATTGATAGCCTAAGCCGGAAACTAGGGTTGGGTAGAAGTAGGATAGTGTTGAGGATCCGACGATGGCCTGTTGGAGAACGAGGATGTTAGTTTTTCTAATTCTGTGGCCATAGAAAAGGGGTTGTGTTTGTCTGCATACGATTGAATCAAACTTACCATGTAACCAACGACAAAGAGCCAAGTCCTCCAGCTTATCATGCTGAGCTTGAAAGCTGCCCAATGTCCCAAGTGAGGCTCCTCTTCCGTCCTCAGATGTTCCGCCGCGGTCTTAAGTCTCCGAATAGCGAGCTCCCTCTCCTTCTCATTGAACTTCTTCAACGAAGTATTCTCCGGGAAATCAGGCAGCGCAAAAAACGCAACCAACGCAGCACCCACCGTCGCGGACCCCTCAACGACAAATAACCACCGCCACCCAGCAATCCCATGCGCCCCGTCAAGTCCACTCGTAATCGACCCAGCCAACAACCCGCCAAAGGCACCAGACAAGATTGCAGCGGAGATGTACACGGCAAACCTCTTACTCTGCTCCTCTTTTTTGTACCACGACGACAGCAGTAAGAGCACACCAGGGGCGAAGCCGGATTCGAGGACGCCCATGACGACGCGGAAGCCGACGAGGGCTTTGTAGGTTGGCGTAAAGGCCATGCCGATTGTGACGGAGCCCCAGAGGGTCATGATGCCGGGGAGGTAGAGAGAGGGGCGGGTGCGGGTTAGGATCATGTTGGAGGGGACTTCGAAGAGGACGTAGCCTACGAAGAAGACGACGAGGGCGATGGAGTAGCGGGAGGAGTCGAGGTTGAGGTCGCGGTCCATACCGGCGATTTTGGCGTTGCCGATGCTGTTTTGGGGGGGAATGATTGTCAGTTCAGGGGGGTTTTGGTGATGGCGGCTTTAGTTGGAGAGAGGCTTACTTTGTTCTGTCCATGTAGGAAAGTAGATACTACATTGAGTTTTCTTAGCATGCTGCATTGTTGACCAAGATAGTTTGGCTTTTCTTTCTGGCGAATCTAGATCAAGGACTCAAGCGTGTACGAACCATGATGAAGACGAGAGGAAGCAAGTACAAGTCTATCTTGCGGACCAGTTTCTTCTCTTCGTCGCTGTCAGCCACGTAGTCATCGACTCCCACCATCTCCACGCCCTTGGACAGAGCATGTTCATGCTCGTTGCTTGCAGTCTCGTTCTTCTCCATTGCCGGTGATGTTCTGTCAGTTGACTGGGAATCTGGAGAGGTAAAAAGGCCCAGTAATATTCTTGAACTCTTCAAGAGGACTATTGGATAGGAGAAGTATAGAGGTAGAGTTCCAAACACAGGCCCAGAGTTGCCAATCGAAAGCCAACCGAGAGCAACTGGCAAGTAAAAGCGTCTTAAGTATTTCACAACTGTCTACCTTGTTCTTGCATATCTGCTTCGGCCGAGACAAGAAAATGGGAAAGAAGGCTTGTTGCCGATAGCGTCCGAGTAATACTTGTCAGCTTTGATGAAAAGCTGCCTTGGTCTTGAGTGCGGCGTGCCGCCCTTGCCAGCTATGCCAGCTTACACGCAACTTGTCTAGAGGCAGCCTGGTTTCGTATGGTGGTCGTACGACCAACGAGGGTTCGTAGATCATCTGAACTAAGTCATTGGCATGTTTTCTCCCCCAATCTGGGGAACCGGGGGGCCCTCAGACGAATCTTCCGAAGTTTGCGGGGTCCGGGGGAGGGTGCCCCCCCGGAAGAGCAATCAACTTAGCGCAAGCCAGATGGAGGGGTGTGCCACCCGCGACTCGAGGACAATGGAAAAGAATGGGGCTGGGAATAGTAGAAGCTAGCCAAGTCCGTAGGAGGACCGCGTCTCGAGGCAAGCGGATTTCGAAGAATGGGTTGCAATATGCGATCTGGACACCGGCTCGTGGTTTATTGGTTGTATGTGTAACAAATTGAGAAAAACATGAGGCTTGAAGTTACACAACACGGTCCGGCATTTCCACATAATCGCCCGTCATCAGCCGATCCGGAAACTGTATCCGCACCGAACCGCGTGTCGGGAGCTTCATGATGTTCGATCTCCGAGGAGCCCCACGGCGCCGGCGAGCATTGTGGTCAACAACATTTTCCGTTCGCCCGTTTCTCTATTTTACTTAAGGCAAGTAAAGGTGTTCTGTATCTCTCTCAGCTTGCGATACCGCCTGCAATTTAATTTCTCAGCTCTGTTGGTCGTTGCATCTGAACTGAAACCGGCTTCAACTTTCTTTCTCTACACATCACACACATCATCGTCTTCACAATGACTGGCTCCTCTGATCAGAACGGCAACGGGACCGCCGCGATCCCCACCAACGGCACAAACGATGCTCCTGCCTATCTCAGCACATTGCCCCCAGCCGGCACTGACTGGAAGGTCTCTCTCAAGGATAAAGTTATCGCAAGTAAGTCCCCTTGACAAAAATTCAAGCAAAGAGGTTCGTCTACTAAACGCACATCAAGTTTCGGGAGCAAACCAGGGCATAGGTCTAGGCATTGCAGAAGTCTGCCTCGCCAACGACGCCGCATGCGTGTACAGCCTGGACATCACCGAGCCGGCGGAGGACTTTGCCGGCCTGCTCAAGCGGTTCCCCGGCAAGCTCGCATTCCAGCAATGCGACGTGACGGACTACGCCAGCGTCGCGGCGGCCGTCGACGCCGTGGTGGCCACGACGGGCCGCTTCGACGGCATGGTCGCCAACGCCGGCGCGACCAAGCACCAGCCCGCGCTGGACTTCACGCCGGAGCAGTTTGACCGGCTCTTCAAGCTCAACGTCAACGGGTCTTGGAATTGTGCGACGGCCGCCGCGCGGGCGTTTATCAAGCTCGGGTGCAAGGGCAGCATCGTCTTCACTGCAAGCATGACTTCCTATAGGCCGAACCGGGTGAGTCCTTGTGTTGTGTGACGGGTTGTTGGTGATGAAAGATAAGGGGTTCCCTGACTGACGTTTTTTTCTTTTGCTTTGTAGGCCGCTCCCTCTGCCCCGTACGGTGCGACCAAGGGTGCCATCCGCAACATGACACACACGCTGGCCATGGAGTGGGCCGAGCATGGCATCCGTGTCAACTCAATCTCGCCTGGCTTCGTCAAGACGGCGTTGACGTACTACGTTGCGACTGCGCCTGACTGGGACACCAAGATGAAGTATTACGGTGGGATGCCGCGTCTGGCACTGCCTCAGGAGCTGGGCGGCGCGTATGTCTACTTGTTGAGTGAGACGGCTTCGTACACAACAGGTATTGATATTCCCATAGCAGGCATTGTTGGTGCTTGGTAGAAAGAAGACAGAGAACATACCCAATTCCAATATTAGAAAGTCAATGACGTATAACACATTGATGCATGTGCATTAAGGTAGTTAATGTTTTCGGTGAACCCTGGTCTTTGGGCCTACAAGTAATTTGGGACCATTGACTGCTTCAGTGTCAAGGGAAATAAATCCTTAAGGACGAACATGCACACTCTGGTAGTTTGCATCCAAACTCTTTTAGAACCCAGCCATCATTACAGCTCCAAATCATCTTCAAGAAGGAAACTCCCGGCGAGTTCCCAAAACCCCGAGGTGCCTTCGACCTCTTTTCGAGCTTCCACGTCATCTCAGACAGTTCCCAAACCTGAAGTATCCCACCGGCTTCACGATGATCTGCGCGGTACCATTTATGGACTGCGGTGAAATGCCAGTAAAATGAATGGCGCCCGGAGCTTGCTACTAATGCTAGTATTCACTTGGCCCCTCAATCAAAATGCTCTGCAACATCGATTGCAGCTCGATAGAATCTCAGTTACAGTGCGGAGCCATGGCATGTCCGAATGTTCGTTCAACCTTTGTTCAAGTTCAGCGTTTCTTTGTCCAAGACATTGGGCATTCATATCATGATGAGGCCTGTCTGGCGAGCTCGAAACCGATATAATACCTTTTCATTTCCGTATTCATTTTCGTAGCAAGTGTCAGTCCATCAGATCTGTCAACTATGGCGAGAACAGTGTGTTGGGCATGCGAAAGTTACGCCTCTGGCCTAGCTTCCTCAAGACATTGGCAACGAACTATATCCCTGAGTGCAAGGACCTCAAGGCCCAAGTAAAGGAGGCCTGGGACCTCGTTGCCGCCGAATTGGAGGCGCGACACGCCAAGAATGATGGAAAGGAGTACAATGACGCTATCTACTGGTTCGAAGAGCATGCTGCTGGGAAGCCTTACAATTTTGGGGCGTCGCAGCTAATGTTGGCGGTCGTGTCCATCGGCACGACGTCGGATCTGATCACACAGGCCATGGTCGACATTCTGCAGCACCCCGAGCTGATTGGTCCTTTGAGAGAAGAAATCGTCACATGTCTTGAGAAAGAGGGGTGGAAGAAAACGGCGCTTTACAACATGAAGCTTCTTGACAGTGTGCTCAACGAGAGCCAACGCCTCAAGCCCAACCAGATTTGTAAGTGGCCATAAACTCCAAGCCTGGTAGCTGCGAGTCGTATTTGACTAACCTTGGGATGCTTGTAGCTTCGATGTTCCGACAAGCGATCGCCGACGTCACCTTGTCTGACAGTACCAAGATTCCAAAAGGCTACTCTGTCGCAGTGTCAGGTGAAAAATGAGAGAGACACAGCATTCTACGAGAACCCCAACGAATTTGACGGCTACCGCTTTCTACGTATGCGGGAGAGCGGTAAGCCGGGGCAAGAGGCGGCTGCTCAGTTGGTGACTACGAGCGTCAACCATCTTGGCTTCGGCCATGGAGAGCACAGTTGTCCAGGACGCTTCTTCGCTGCCAGCGAGGCGAAGATCATCATCGCTCACCTGCTCTTGAAGTATGACTGGAACTACGACACTGCTTACGAGATGAAGTTGCGGAAGTTCGGATTTGCGGAGGAGGCCGACCCGGATCTCAAAGTTTCTTGCAAGCGACGGGAGATGGGAATTCCATTGTGAATATGTTGGATGAAAATTACAGGGCGTTTGGAAGGCTGAGATGGGAGGTTGAAATTGTACGTAAGCTTAGAGCTGAATAATCCCAGGATCGGTATACGCAGTGAAGCTGAAGTGCCTCATATACCCCTCCAAGTCAATTCCTGTCACCAGCCAGCAGGCACCCGTCTAGGTCGACGGGCCAGGTCAATCTGGCTGGATGGTGGAGTGGTTAATGGTCAACAATTAACTCATACGCCAACCAGCCTACTCGACGACAGGCTTAGCGAGTACCCGAGTTCGAATCCCAGCATGAGCACCAAGAGATGTAGCCACACCGGTGGTGAACTCTTTTTTTGTGGTCTCTGTGATCACTAAGCTCTTATATCAGGTGATTCGCCGCAAGGCGCCGTATCCTTTTCCTAGGTTTTTTGTTCGAATTGCCAACTCCTTCCTGTTGCCTGATTACTTCAGGCCTTGACCCCATTCGACTGCTTCAGATCATAATCATCTATGACTTTTACTTTGACTGCTGATGCAGATGCCTTTAAAGGATAATGTCAACTACCAAAGATCTTAAAGTGTGAAAAAGGCAAGAGTCTCAACTTACGGGATCAAACTCATAACCCACCCATTCACTAACCAACCGCCTAGCAAGCTCGACACCAATAACGCGTTGACCGAGGCATAGAACCTGCGCATTGTTGCTCTTGACGGCTCTTTCCACTGAAAAGCTGTCGTGCGCCGTCACTGCCCGTACGCCGGGGACCTTGTTCGCCGAGATGGCGACGCCTAGCCCGGTGCCACAGATGAGGATGGCCCGGTCGACCTTGCCACTGGCAACGGCCTCGGCGGCAGCGATGGCGAAGTGTGCGTATGCCGTCTTATCTGTCGCAGAGTTGGGGCCGAAGTCTACGACTGTGCTCACTCGCGGATCAGCTTCCAGGTCCTTGGAGATTGTGGCCTTGTAGTCGAAGCCGGCGTCGTCGCCGCCGACGGCGATGCGGAGACCGTTGGCTACAGTCATTTTGAGGAGTACTGCAGGAGGATATGGAGAACCGACTTGGGATGTGACAAGGAAAGTTCGTTCAGATGAGAAGGTTTACAGACGAGCAAGTATGACACTACCCTTGCGGATGAACAACTTGGACAAGCGAATGTCTTTCGACGACTATCCCGACTATCGCCAGGTGAAAACAGTCTATATCGAGGTTCAGCTATGTAATTACAGGACCTGGTTAGAAAGCTATAAAGTGGTGTTTGCCTTAACACAAGTTTCTACATGGATCATCAGTCCGCGCCTCGTGGCCGGTGGGTCTAGCGACCGCGAGTCGTGGGCACACACAAATTCGAGGTTTCTCCTAGCCGAGTGTGATCCATCGGGCGTAATGGCACCAGACCACGACGCTTCTTGGCAGGCGTATCGAAGAATCTACTCGCTTTATTTGGACAAAAAGCTATGTCAACTTACATGAGGCTTTTGAGCAACTCAAACTTCCCTGTCGGAGTGATCGCCTAGAGCCGTCTTGTTCAAAAATTATTACTTGAACGTACACAACTTTGGCACCTGCGCTGAGATACGCATCGGAGTCAAGATGAAGTCGTGGGACCCTTCAAAGAACAAGACATATCAAATCCTCAAAGCTGCTGAGGAAGGCCAATATGGCGTAGTCGCGCCGATTGCCTACAACATCGAGAACATCCTCGCCTTCATCCGCGCCGCCGAAGCAACGAAAAGCCCCCTAATCATCCAAGTATTCCCATGGGCCATCACCTTCTCATCAGGTCTTCTTGTTCATGCGGCAGCGCACGCGGCTCGCGCCGCCTCAGTCCCTGTGGCCATCCATCTCGACCACGCACAGGACGAAGCCATGATCAGACACGCGGCAGATACGTTGCCGTTCGATAGTATCATGGTGGATATGAGCCACTACGAGATGGACGAGAACTTGGCCAAGACCAAGGAGTTGGTGGCATATTGCCATGAGAGGGGCATTGCGACCGAGGCCGAGCCGGGACGTATTGAGGGTGGCGAGGACGGTATCGCGGATACAGCGGACCTTGAGGGGGCTTTGACGACGGAGGAGCAGGTGGAGGACTTCATTGCTACCGGCATCGACTTTTTGGCGCCAGCTTTTGGCAATGTGCATGGGGAGTATGGCGCCAGGGGACCCGTATTGGAGTTTGACCGGTAAGACCAATCTCTTGGACACTGAGTGTGAGCCGTTGCTAATTCGATGTGTGGCACAGGCTGCAAAAGATTCGCGAAAAGGTGGATGGAAGAGTTCGAGTCGTGCTTCACGGTACCAACGACTTCCCTGAGGATCTCATGCAGCGCTGTATCGCTGGCGGCGTATCGAAGGTCAACGTGAATAAGCTTGTTCTTGATGACTACTTGATTCATTTGAAAAAAAACGCGTCAAGTCAAAACTTGACAACACTGATGGAAGAGGGCGTCAAGGAAGCCCAGAAGTCGACGGAGTGGCAGATGAACGTGTGTAAGTCTGCCGGTAAAGCATGAAATGTCAGGAGTCCAAACATTTTCAGCCTTTAGGGGTATCTTGACGGTCGATAATAGAACTTCAACGCATCACGTCCGGACTTTGACTATCAGCATTTGCCCATGCCTCCCTCAAGTCATCTCGCCACGTCGCCATCGGAGTCCATCCGACTCTCTCTTCACTTCTCTCAATCAGAGACAGAATAGTGTTCCTCTTTAGCGCGTCTTGTACGCATAGGCCCGCCCCATACAGACACTGTGCTGAGAGTAATTGGCACCCCTCGTCTGTGGATTCCATTGCAATGCCACAGATCGTATCTACCGCCTCTGAGAGTGCTCGTTGCATCTTCATATATACATCAAACCCTGAAGACACCGGTTTGTGAAGGAGAACAAGGATCTTTGCGAATGAGTACGCTTGAAGAGCAACTCCAAATTCGGGAGGATGAACCCAAAGCGGCGTGAAGACATCGGACGGACTTGTTGACGTCGGGAGGGGTCTAAACTCAGTCCCCAGAAACGACTTCCATCGCTCTATCTCAGCTAGCATTTCGCTTCCGGCCCTCGCTCTATTCCCCGAAGCTGAAACATCAGTCAAAGACGAAGACTCTATCATGCGAGAGTAAGCGCAGTAGTTGACGGCTCGCGATAGCAGGTAGATGGCCCTGTCAGCCAGTCCATGTGGGTCAAGTTCACCAAAGTCTTTGTCTGCGGCCCAGAAGCTGAGGCAACGCCTCTTTTCGCGAAAAGCAGCCCAAATGTCCTGGCGAAGCCAAGCCCACCAGACTGCTTGTCGCAGTCCGCCAGATGCCCCATTGACGTCTTGAGATCGTTGGATCCAGAAGACGCCCTTCAGGTGTCGTTGCCAATTGCCTCGACCGTCTGATTCATCCAACATCTCGTATGCTGAGATTACAATGGCCGTGGCATTGAGCTCTTCTGAAGCCGTATAGCTGGTGCATGCCAATGCTTCTTGAACGTAGCGGAGAGTCTCGTAATAGTACCGAACCCACTCTCCGCCGGGGTCCTCCTCTGTGTCTTCATTGCTGCCAATGGAGTTCCTATATCCTCCTCCCAATTTTGAGAGGTGTTTAGCTGACATAGCCAAGATTGCATTCATCAGACCTGCATTCCTCAAAGCCAAGCGGACTGCATAGGTAGAGAAGTGCTTCCTGGGATCCAAGAAGTCCAACCAAAGAGCCGATCGTTCCGTAAAGTGACGAAAGAGTACGGCCTCTCGGTTGGACAGTGTGATATCCCGATCCGCCTGCCAAGTTTTCCGCTCTGGATCTGAGACTTCGTTCAGCCGAGACTCGAGGTTGGTTGCATCGGGCGGGCCATGCAGGTCCGCCGCCCGCCTCTGTTCCTCATCCTCCGGGGCGGGGCTCGGGGCGAGTGAGAAGCCACTGTCTGCCTGCGCCGCGTCGGTGGCGAGCAGGCCGAGCCATCGCGTCGAGGCGAGATCGGTGGTCCACAGCTCGGATGCGACGGTCTCGGGAGAGTAGCTGTACACGTCGCCGAACGTCACTCCCGCCGTTACGCGAGGTTGGCTCACGTAGGGCGCGTGAGCTGCGTCATACGTCCCGGGAGGCTGGGAGACTTGCTGCATCGACGACATCTGCGACTCGAGGCTGGTGGACTCTGTTGAGCCGATCGATTGCGGGAGCTCATCGACGCGTGACTGGCTGCCATTGTCTCCGAGACGCGCAGTCACGCGGTCGTTGTGCGAGGTAGCTGGGCTTGATCTTCTGTCCGCATCTTGAAAAAGATGGGGAAAGACGCAGTGACGAGACGAGATGCTGCATGGCCCACAGACCGGTTGCTGTTCGTCGCATTTCTTGTGTCGCTCGCGACAAGTCAAGCTGTGCAGTAAGTCAGCAACCCGCGCGTCGAGGGTAATAGTGCGGCTGGGGAGGCTTGAACTCACCACCCTGTTTTGGTGCGCAGGCCACGGCCTCGAGACTTTCTGACGCGCTTCTTGGGCGGCACGGATGCAGCTTGTCTTCCATCCATGAGGTCATGGCAGGCCTATCGTTGTGGTTGTGTACGAATATCGGTTCCTTACATGAAAGGGATGCGAGACGCGGTTCGAGCAGGGTTGACTTAAGGCTTTCCGGTATGCGGGGGGGTAGCGAACCATGAAATTGGAACCGCCGCCCGTGACCTGGTGAAAAGAGCTGCGGAGTACGAGTTGTCACAGCTATTTCCGAGTTGTGCGGAGCAGCGGAGCGTTGCCGACCTTTCGGACTCGGTTGCGAAGAGGTTGGATGTCGGGACTTGTCCGTGGAGTCTGACGAGCTGCATTGCCGAACTGGGAACTTGAGCGAGATTTTTGTGCGGGGACCCACGGGGAAAAACGAACCATTGCCTTCCCCCCAACAAAGCGTCTGGGGGGGCAGGGGTAAGTGGGCTAGGATGTTAGCTCCAGTCTTGTTTGTCTGCGGTGCGCGTCTCGGGGGCATTGACTGACTCGCTTGAAGCTCCTCTCGTTTGCGAGGCTTCAGAACTTGGGAAAAGCTGAAGGAAGCTAGTGCTGTAGAGAAAAGTCCAACGTCGAGATACCCATGTGGCTCGAGGCGCGTAAAGTTGGCGTTCTCAGATGAGTATGAGTACAATATGTGTGGTAAATGGTTGCAGTTGAAGATTACCAAGTTATGATGGAGGGGAACTGACAGCTGTGGTTAATACGGAAGACGTTACCCGTACCATATATCCGGAAATCTGTCCACGGCAATGGCTTCAATGTGACATTTGAACACCATCAGTTCAGAAGCATTGAATATGGCAACGAAGCACTACTTCCCCGACACCGCTGCAAATACCCTCGTACCAAGGGCTCTACGGGCTCTTGTTAGAGCGAACCCTCATCTCACTCTCAGTGAAGCAGAACGTGTCGTTGCGAATTCGCACAATGATCGGTCGACCGTAAGCATCATTGGCGGTGGCGGCTCGGGTCACGAGCCGGCATGGAGCGGCTTTGTCGGTGAGGGTCTTCTGTCAGCAGTTGCATACGGCGACATATTCGCCTCGCCGAGTACGAAACAAGTTCTCGAAGCAATGAGACTGACGCCTTCCGATGCCGGGACCATCCTCCTCATCACCAACTACACCGGTGATAGGCTTCACTTCGGACTCGCTGCGGAGAGAGCAAAGGCCTCAGGCCTGTCCGACAAAGTCGTTGTTCTCCCCGCCACGGACGATGTTTCCATCGGCAGGAGCAAGAGTAGCAGGGTGGGGAGGAGAGGAATGCCAGGTCACATTTTCAGTGAGTGCTGATCATATTGTCATCCAGTACCACCGCTAATTCATCCTAGCTATGAAGATCCTCGGTGCGGCTGCGGCTGAGAAGTATTCTTTCGATCAATGTGTAGAGATTGGCAGAGCTGTCAACGACCAGACGGTGTCGATAGGCTCAGCTCTAGACCACTGCCATGTACCAGGACGACAATACCACTCCGTCGCAGAAGACGTGTGCGTTGTTGGCGCTGGCATCCATAATGAGCCAGGCCAACAGCTCATTACCCCTTTCCCGTCAGTAAACGATCTCGTGGACAGGATGCTGAAGCTCTTATGCGACCCGAATGATGCTGAAAGAGCTTTTGTATCTTTCGAAAAAGGGGATGAAGTCACACTCCTTATCAATAACTACGGCGGGCTCTCAGTTCTGGAGTTAGGCGCGCTCACGGATGAAGTACAGACTCAGCTGGCCTCGACCTGGTCAATTACCCCCGTACGAACACAAGTTGGCACATTCGAAACGTCTCTCAACGCACCCGGATTTTCCGTTTCACTCTGCAACATTTCGGCTGCAGCAAGGCAGTCCAAGTCAACTGTTAGCGAGCTCCTGCAGCTTCTCGATCGTCCCACGAGTGCAGTCCACTGGCCAAACACTGTCCGGCCAGTAGCGAGCAAGGAGAAAACGAATGGACCGGTGGTGAATGGCGACAGTGATACTTCAAGCAGTGCTGAAAACAGGTCAGATCTCATCAAAGTTGATCCCAAGCTGTTAGAAAAGGCCATCAGATCAGCTTGCGAACGGGCCATTGCCGCCGAGCCAAATCTGACGAAATGGGATATGGTGATGGGCGACGGTGACTGCGGTGAAGCCGTTAAGGGCCTATGCGAGTCTCTGCTGCGTAATCTCGACAACGGTTCAGCGGCTAGCGGATCTGTCTTCGCCTTCCTCGAGTCCACAATCGAAGCCGTCGACGACATGGGAGGAACCCTCGGAGCCATCCTGGGTATCCTGCTGTCCGCCTTTTCCTCTGCTCTTCGATCCGAAGCGCAAGCTAATCCCCCATCCACGGCGTCATTCTCACCGATGTTGTATGCCTCATCTTTGGCTTCTGCGGTAGATTCTCTCAAGTCTCATACGCCAGCGAGAGAGGGTGATCGGACGGTCATGGACGTGCTACTTCCGTTCTCGGATGCTTTTGTCAAGTCAGGGGACTTTAAGGCTGCTGTAAAAACCGCTGCTGAAAAGGCAGAGGCTACGCGGTACTTGAAGGCAAGATTTGGAAGAGCAACGTATGTGGGAGATGCGGCGGGACAAGAGTTGCCCGATCCTGGTGCCTGGGCATTGTACGAGTTCTTTTTGGGAATGGCAGAAGCCTAGACTTTCTGTGGTAAATGAGCAGAGAAATAATTTTTTCATAGTTATTTTGGACTGGAAACCTGAAGAATTATCCCACGAAAATGTTTGAGTATTGTGCAGCCTGCCCGCCCCAAGCTGATCATCGAGATCTCCGCAATCAGAAAAGAAAGGCCTCTTGTATCATATATAGAAGTCACCCAATATCCCATCGGCTGCTAGATGGCGCTTATACATGTATGTACTTCAACTTTTATAAGGGCAACAACGAATTACATATGAATATGGCCTTATTTCCCTTGTATGCACCTGTGAATAATACCGAAATAGAGCAAAACCGGGAAGACAGAATACGGATCAAGAATGTCCTGCCGTCATCTAAAATTTGATGGGATAAGTCTAATCTAGCATCTCTTTAGAAGTTGTCCTTGTAAACTTGAGCTCCTCCGCTGCGAGCGGTGGGCCCAAGATGGGAGGGCCGCCGCAGAGGAGTTTTCTCGCCAGCGAACAGCGAAACAATAGCTGGAAACCCGGTCGAGCGCTGCCCAACATTGACAAGAGTCTCCCATACTCTCTCGAGACCGAGAAGCTCCGGCTTCTCCAGAACTCGGAGAACGGTCGCCGTTCAGCGGCAAAGAAGAGGGCTGCCGCCGACGACCCCGATGACGATGACGCCCCGCCAACCCCTGCTTGCAAGCTGCCTTTACCAAATGTTGGCCGGAGGAGGTAGCGTCACAATCTTGGCTAGGAGCTTAGTCGTCTCGGCTAACTCTTCGATGCACCGAAGCTGGCTCTCCAACTCTTCTGGGTTCTCATCAGGCTCATTTGACTCATGGGTAAGGCCGTAGGCTTTACCCCTGGTGCCGTTCTCTTCATCCTCGCCATATTCGCCACGAAATGAGGCAACCTTATCCAACAGTCTCAGTCTCGTCCTCTTAAGAACCTCGCGGCTTGATTGGATTTCTATCAGAACTTCCAATTCTTCATCCTTCATCTCAAGTAGAACCTCCATTGGATGAAGCTCTTCACAACTGAGGACACCGTTTTCATCCCCACCAAAGTCGCGAGCCACGCCGACTAGATAGCGTCGGGCCACGTATGTTGCTCTCTCGTAATTCCATTCGCCAAGCCATTGCATTTGAGCTCTGTCCCAAACCCAAATGGCTTTGACCTTTTCGTTCCGAATTTGAGAGGGCTGGTTCATGGCGTCTTTCTTGAAAACGGGCCTCTTCTTGCAGGTCGAGAAGACTGAACCGCTTTGGTAGGAGTATACAAAGTCTACAAAATCGCTGTTGAATTCCGGTTCCGGTTTGGCTGCCATGAGAATCTCAGTGCGCTGATACGTGGCCTTTGTCTCGTCATAGTCTATCGTATCTGATAACTCGCCAACGATGACGTGCTCGACCATACGTTTAGGCAATTTTCCACCTGCATCCATATTTGACGTAGGCTTCAAAACGTTGGGCTTGTCAGTGGCCCATCCATCAGCGAAGACTCTCTTCCAGAAGTTGTCGCGAATAGTATCATGAATTTCTGGTTTGGTGATAAGACCATCGATGGTCTCCTCTGTCTTCGTTCGTCTGGGGTCGTTGTATAATAGCACCAAAGCGATGAGGCTATCACACATCCTCTTTCCGCTGTCATTTAGTTGGTGAACCCCAGAGATGACGAACTGAGGTGGCTCCGGGGAAGTCATGCTGAACTTGAGAAGGACTGTGATGAGAATTAGTAATTTGCGGCCGTCTATGCATCATGGAAATTGAATAGCAAGATCCGAGACCCAAAATCTGAAGAAAAAGAAAGGTAGTTCTTACTTGTGTTTTGACGTACGCGGTGGGTTTTGAGATGTAAAGTAGTTGCGTTTGATTTGCAAAATTCGAAACACGCTGAAGTTTAAGAGCAAGAAACGTAGATGGATCCTCCTTAGATAGCTGATATGGTGAGAAATGAAAATCAATGAAAAAGAACAAGGGCTCTTATGTATAATGATGCTGTAGAATCCTGGGCAAACCAAAGTTTCTGGGTGGACAATGGCGCCCATTATCGAATATGTCAGATAAAAGCCACACTGTTGAGGTGATTTGCGCCAATGTAGGGGGGAGGGGTGTGATCTCAGATAAGTGTTACGAGGAGAAGAATAAGGGAGGGGATTTTCTATACACACACGCCGTGAAAGCGCCTTCATTGTCGAACTTGTACCTCTTGCGCAAACAGTCCCAGCCCCTACCAGGCGTATTGCTTTGATGTGATCCAAACTTAGAAGTCAGAAAGTCTGGTGTGCTGATTTTCCAAATAGAAAGGAAGGAACATCAGACTCAATGCAACAAAAGGGAACACTGATGACAAAATCCGAGATTTGGGCAAGGGGCAAACCGTCGAGCGCGACTTCCATATGAATTCATCACAGACATACATCAATATGGGGCCATCTCACGGACTAATTACATCAGAGGATGCATATGTGTAGTAAGAATAGGCATGTCAATACCTTCGTGTACGTGTATCGAGTCATACTGGCGAAATCAAGAGTCCATGCTGTGCTTTTACGTCCCTTCCCATGTGTCCTAAGAAACAAAACCAACCTCCATCCATCATCCGGGTATCAATCAGTCCTTTCACCATCCTTGTCATCCTTCAATCACCCCTCAAAAGCTGCTCATGGACCAGGAAGTTCTGTCGAAGCTCCTCCTTCTCCAACCAGTGCTCCTCGACCAGCCGAACCTGCTTTAGCTCACTCGTATCCTCCGAGTTGGTGACACTAAGCTGCAAAGCCAAGTTGAGGAGACGGAGGCGGCCCCAGTAGACAACCTTGTTCCAGTTCCAGCCGCCGACACGCTCCTTCTCGTTGGTATCGTAGTGCATTCCGACCTCAATCTTGGCCTCGTCGAGAGTGAGGTCGCCCTCAATATCAATCGAGGCATTGGAGAGCTCAGAGCCACGGTGGCCCTGCTGATCGACCCAGAAGAAGCTGGCGTCGATGTCCTCCCAGCGATCGCCAACCTTCATGCTGACCTTGAGCAGGACAGACTGGCCGGCGCGGCGGTAGCCCGGGACGCTGCCGTTCTTGGGCACATCTTGGTTGAGGGTGCCGATGGTGAGGGAGGCCTCGTCGTTGGTGCGCTTGGGGAGCTGGCCTGGGGCATTATTGTCCTTGTTGGTGGTCCAGCCCTTGGCGAAAATACGGTTCCAGAATTCATGGCGGACTTGGTCGAGGGTGTCGGGGTCCATGGGGCAGTTGCGCGGGATGAGGGCCTGCAGAAGGTCGTCGCACATGCGCTGCTGTGAGGCTGACAGCTGGCTGAGACTTGAGATGGCAATCATGGCGCCTGTTGATTCCAGCTCACTGTAGGACTGCATGTTTTAGCCTTTGTGTTAGTCTGAATATCTTTATGAAGATGCAGTGCTGAGGGGAGCTTTTACCGGAGAGACGATTGCGATTTGCGATTGTGATTGTTGAGTTGCTTTGGCAGCTTTGTTGTGGTGGTGAGAGCGTGAGGGTGAAAGATTTCTCAAAGTGTGCAGAATACTTCAGGCAAAGGAGGAAAGAAGCCTGGAAGTGTTTGGGGGAGAAAGGTGTGTCTTGTTTGATGAGGGATGGGAATTGGGATAAGTAGGGCTCGTTGTTGGGTGGTTGCTGGGACTGTTGACAAAGTTGGACGCGTCTGTGATGCTCTGGTAGTTCACCTTAACCTCAGATGCGGCAAGTCAGTCCTGCTTTATGGACCCACTGAGAGATCTAGGCACTCCTTAAACAATGCAATTGTCCCTGAGGCCATGCACTCCCTGAGACTGGTACCTTAGTCTACACACAATGTGAATTCATCTACAAGACAGCTTGGAAGAATCTCTTTGTTAGTATGATGCACCAATAAGGCCTCTAGACACTTTTGATAAACTTCGGTTTATTTGACGGAACTCTAATGATGTTCTGGGTGACAAAAAGGAAGTTAATTACAAGTTCCATGCTCAAGACCAGTTTTTATTCCCCAACTGCTGGGCTTTCTTCTATCAAGTAAGGAAGTCTGAGTATGAACCTGGTCGTTATCTTCAGCTTGGGCCTCAGCTTTCCATACTTTAGATCAGTATACCTTCTATAATAATGTCAGTCCCCACTGTCTACCAGATTAGTCGTATGGCTATCCTGCCCAGGCCGAAGCCGGCATCTCTACACCAAAGGAGAAGCATGAAGAGTAGAGATACAAGGATCTGGGCTGCTATACCAGTACTACATCCGTGCGGAACCATGTTAATTCACATTCATTCACTAAAGTAGACATCTCGATTTCAATGGTGAAGTTGACGAATACAACCACTTGTTGTGTTCCTCAAAGACAGGAGCCTAGATCAGCAAACCTTGTCTTGTGACCTGGCATATTCCACAATAGATGAGATGAAATTATATTATACAGATGGACATAATTCACTGCTACAGACGGTAATTAACTCCATCCTCGATCGTGTATAAAATCTCGAGGTCTCAAGCAGCCAGGTCAAATCTCTTCCTTCAAACCCCACCATGCACAGAAACAGGACTTAGCATCTTCGACAAAGATCACCACACACCAAAAAACACAACTTGGACAACCAGGTACCTCAATCATCGAGAATCATCATGTCCGGCCAAGGCAGATTCATCGACCCAATGGAGTCCTACCTCAACCCCTCCCCCCAATGCCCAATCATGGCCCGCCGCATCCAGGAAATTCACCGCGCAGCCCACGCCACCAACGACAGTCACCGTGATCATCGCGAGCACCGCGATCGTGCTCACCACCACCACTACCACCGCAGCACCCGTCACCGCACCCCAGCCCACGAAGCAGACGCCTACTACCCCCGCAGCGGCCCGGCCCCGGGACCGGCCATCTACGTCCGCTTCGAGTGCGTCCCCCACCGCGAGGTCATAGCCTGCAACGACATTTGGCAGACCCTCGGTTCTGCTACCGAATCCTATATCGGCTGTAACCGCACCAAAGGTCTCTGGGACACGGTCTTTGCCGGCGGCTGGACGACGGCTCACCCCGTGGGCGATCTACCAAAGCCGGGTCCTAGGGATGATGACGCCGTGATGGTGAGGTGTGGTGTTTGGAGGAAGGATCTTCCCGAGATCTCTGTGAGTTCCAAGATCCCTTCCTTTATGTTCTCCTTTCTCCGGGTCTTGAAAAGACTCTTGCCAGTCTGAATCCCCCAAAGACTTCTTTCACCTTACAGTAACTGATTACAAATCCCTTTCTTCAGAGATCGACATCGGCCGCCTCGCAAACCACCTAAAAGGCGCCTCCGCCTACGTCAAGTTCACCCGCGGCACACACCCCCTCGAAGCCCGCTTCACCTTCTGCGACTCCTGGGGCCAAGACGCGCCCGAGGATAGCATAAAGTACGATGGCGACGGGCACATTAGTACACACATCTACCTTGCTCGCGCAGCGCACCTCTTCGACGAGCACAAGCGCGCCCGTCTGGAGAAGTATAACCAGGAGCTGGCGGTGTATATCTTTCGGCGGAGACTACAGTTCTGGTTGAGCGAGGGGTTTCTTCGTACGATGGCTACTATGGGTGGTGTTGCGCGTGGGATGGAGGCTCAGGCTGCGAGTACGGTTGTGCTGCTTCCTCGGGACGACGAGGAGTTGAGGGGGAAGTTTGAGGATTTTGTTGGTGCGAGGGCGAGCTTGGAGGAGACGCGGTAGCTATGGTCAGTAACTCTGGGTAAGCGGTTTGGACATTGGGGGAAGCGATTTCTGTAAAGAAACGCATGAGTTGTCGAAGAGGTACATCAAGTTGCTCATAGCAATGGCGAACAGCTGGACTGTTGCGGGCTGTGTACCTTGAGTCGACTTTTACTTCCCTCAGAAGGAGCTAATCAAAGTACCCCTAGTACACTTTGAAGGGAAAGTAAACAGGATGACATCTAGAAAGATGGAAGGTCGGGGTAAGATACTTCTGGTGCGAAACTTGAATCACCGCGTGGGCGGTCTTGATGCCATAATCATACACTATCTACGGTAGCCAGACAAATCCATATCCAGCAAAAAGTCGTCATCATGAAAAATCCCTCATTTTCATCCAGGAGGGTTCACCAAAGACCGTACGCCCGCTATTTCCCCCTAAAATCCATCACGCGCGGGAATCCCGCCTCAGGAGGCTTCCCACGTCGTGTAACTTGACGTTCTCCATCGGCTGAGCCCCACGGTCCACCCGGCCCCACCCGGCGCCCCATGTCGGGAATACGCCGGGAGCCGCGGGATCGGCGGGCATCTGCTCGTCGACAGCGCCCATATTTCTCCCAGTGTACGCCGAGGAGACACCGCTGTTGCGTATGCTCATTGCGTACTCGTACGTTCCACCGATGCTGCTTCCGCCACCCCTTTCTTTCCGCCTCTTGCGCCAGAACCGGGACTGACTTCTTCTCCTGCGCTCTTCCTCTGCTAGAAGGTCGGGTGACGTCATGATCCCGACACGTGCTGCCTTGACGGTGCTCGTCCTCGGGTAATGGAATCCTGCGGGGTGACCACCGTTGAAGGGATTCCACTTCGATTGCGGGCGCGGGTAATGCGATATACTGCCGTTGCGACCGCGGTTGTAGGATGTCGGTGTCTCACCGGCAAGTTCTTCAAGAGTCATGCCCTTTGTCTCCGGGATGAGTAAAGACGACAACATGCCGAGGAACATGAAAAGTGCGAACAGCTCCAGGAGACGGTCGAGCCAGGGCGCACAGTGCTCGCCGTGGCAGTCGCCAGGAACGTCTTTGGCGAGCAGAGGGATGCTAATAACCTGCGCTAGGATAGCACCGACCTTGCCCATCGCTGCAGATATTCCGTGTCCCGTAGAGCGGTATCGGGTCGGGAAACATTCGCCAGGAACGATAAATGTGGTGGTGTTAGGGCCAAAGTTAAAGAAGAATTGGCCAGTGATGTACAAAGTGAGAAAGACGGCATCGGTCAACTGGTGGAGCAGGAAGCCGAGCACGCAGAAGATAACGGTGAGCATGAAGAAGCCCATAATCTGGATGGGTTTACGACCGATAGTATCGATGGTGAAAACGGAAACCCAATAGCCTGGAATCGCACCAGCGCACGCCAGAATGATCAATCCTACGGCTTGGTTGTGTAGTCTTTTGTAGAAGTTGGCTCCGTCGGCATAGCCAATGGTTTGCAGTACAACAGTACTATTCAGCCCGAGGCCGTAGAACGCCAAATCCTATCCGGTGTATCAGTATGTGCAGACCAGTAGCCCTTGACATGGTATTACTCACCAGGAAGAACCAGGAAAAGGCAGTGCCCAAAAGCATCTTAAAGTGCTTCCATTGCGTGAAGTATGCCCAGGCATCAGGCCAGGATGCCCCCGGAGTGTTGTAACCGGGACCGGTCTCCTTCTTCATCTTGAATTGCAAATCCAGATCGTAGTCACCCTTGGACTTGCTCGCCATGTACGCTTGAATGTCCGCATCGGCCTTCTCAACGTCTTGCTCCACGTCAAAGGTGTACCGTGGCGTCTCTGGAATCGTGATCCGGTAGTACAGTGCTATGCAGGCGGGCACGGCGCCCATGCCGACAATGATGCGCCATGAACGGTCAGCAGCAAGCTGGCATCTTGCGTGGCAGTCGCCAAGAGTGTGGACGTCGAGGTAGGAGTCCTTGAAGGCTTCGGCGGTAACTAAAGCCACGACGGCCGCACCTAATTGGCCCATGCCTTGCATCGAGAACACAGCCGCGATCATGGCTCCTCTCCATCGTGTGGGCGCAAACCTGGGGACGGAATCAGTTACGGTTCTTGGATCAGCGGCTAAGAGCCAACTTACTCTGATGTAATGACTGAACTGAGTGGATAATCGCCTCCAATGCCGACGCCCTTGTGGTCGTTAGTAGTAGCACAAGATCACTGACGTACGAAACACTCACCATGATAACCCTCCAGAAGATCATCAGCCCAGTGAAGCTGACCGATTGACTCGGCGAGACCAGAGCGGCGCTGAGCGTTGCCAAAATGATGATTCCAAGTTCCACACCATACATCCTTCTTCTGCCAAATACGTCGGCCAACCAGCCGAACACGATCTGGCCGACAATGATTCCAGCACTGGTTGAAGCCTTGAGAGCCGAGTTGACCGGGCCCGGCAGCTCGCCATTGTTGCCACCATATCCATGCGTACTCGATTCAGGAGGCCCTTGCCAAAACACTACGCCAAGAAGGGTAGTGATGAGGTTGATGGCAAAGATGTCGTACGAGTCGAGGAAGAAACCAACACCAGCAACCAGAATAGCTCTTACATCTGCGGTCCAGTGTTAGTCTTTCAATGAGAGGTGAGCGCAAAGGTTTGATGCGGACTAACGGTACAAGCCAAAAGGAACCTTGTCAATCTCGCTCAGTGCCAATCGTCTCCTTAACGTGGGGTCTGTGATGTGAGAGTAGTCGTTTGCAAAGTTGTGAAAGGCCTTGTTGCCTCCATTTGTCCGCCGATGACCCCGTTCCGTGGACGGGGTCATCGGCGGCTGTAACATTTCGTCCATATCGGGAACGTAGCGTTGAAAACACGAGTCGATTGATCGAAAAGTTGTCGCGATGGCAATATTGCCCGGTCTATGTCGCCGTCGTCCGCCCAGATGCCATTGTGGAGTGCCTTAGTCCGTGTGCTGGGCAGCTTTCCGTAAACCCCGATCCCTCTCTCGAGTCCACAACTTCCGAGTCCTTCGTCGTCGAGGTGTATGTCGTCGCTTAGGTCCGCAGCCGATTTGTCTCTGACCCGGGAGTCTCTAAAATTCGGGTATCGAGAATCAACGCGATCGTGGCTGAAATTCGTTGAATATTCACAGGCTCGGCTAAGGTTTGGGCGGCTTGATCTCAAAAGCGCGCGGCGTGAAGGGTGTGGGAGAGTTTAAAGGGAAACACCTGAGGGCTACCGAGTACAGACATGCATACCAGACATACACCTATCCCGCCTGATCCGTCTTTGCAGGACCTCTGCAATGGGGCGAGGGGCTGAAGTTGGGTGACAGGGGCTCGGCAGGGCAGGCTGATGGCAAGGGGATGCTGGTCAAAGGGGGGGGAGTGCCCGCGACGTGGCCGATTGGACGAGCGGAAGGGATGGGCATGGACGTAAGAATGTCCGTGTATATTGTTAGTAATTCCTCCTCTGAGCTTACCACAGTATGTTAAGAATGGCCGTTTAAACACAAGTTGGAGAGTTTGCTACGGTCCAAGAGGGGATTGGTCGGAGACTGCGGAATGCAAAGATGGGGGCGGAATGGGTGGAACGATTGTAATGTTAAACATGGTGATGGTTCGCATCTGTCCCCGTGTCACGTCCTGTTTGTCAAACCGATCCCGGATCCGGTTGCAGCCAACACCGTCTAAGGAAAGGGAGCCCTAAAGTTAATCGTGGCAGAATGCGTGGGTGTGTACTGTATCCGTACTGGGAGGAGACAAGATAAAGTGCGAGTGTGTGGCCGGGCAGAAGAAAGTTTGTCTGCGTTTTAGGCCAAGGGTAAGAGTCCGATCCCGAAGAACAATGTCTCAACTCGCTGCGCTAACAAGAAACATCGAATGATGCAGGATTGGGGGAACATACTTTGTGTCTCTGTCAGAATGGGCGACGAGATGAACAAAAAGAGTCAAGACCAGGGCCGTATTATTCATGGTAACGAGAGCGGGCCTGTCAAAGGGGGAGCCTGGTGGAGAGGCAGCAGACGACAGATGCAAGTTGCAGGCAGAGATGCGATGCCATGGATGAATAGAGTGACACGTGCTGTCGATAGCCGTCCGGTACGGAGAGTGCGGATTTCTGTCTGAGTGGGGCGCTGGTGGGGGACGTTGAAGAATAAACAGGCCCCCAGCCGTTGGTAGACTTGCACATCAATTTGCTAGTTGCTTTGGGTCTTGGCCTTGGTGGTGAAGGCTGAATGAAGCTTTTGCATATGCGGATGCGGCTGGCGTTGGAGACGGAAAAGGTGAGGCAGCAAAAGTTTACCAGAATGACTGTTAAAAAGAGGTGAATTGGGACGAAGAACAGAGCGAGCGATATGACGGTACCGTAAGGAAGGTTGGCTCCAGACCTCAAACGGGCGCTCTTGCCATGCTCACCGAACGATGCATTATCAGGTCATTTCTAGGCAACTTGGAAGGCAGGTGCAACCCAGAGTACCCACTTTCCTTCTCCACCGTTTAACAGCTTTAATCTGGCGCCTTCCACCTTCCAAGTTCTGAATGAGTCTGACTCTTTCTGCATGTGCTGGGCGACGGATCAGGCAGGGAAGGCGCTCTTTATGCGGGTGGCTCTTTCCCAATGGAAGTTCCCAAGAGTCAACGTCGCCTAACGTCGCCTGCCGCCCCCACCGTGATCCTTCCCAGACTTTCAACTCGAGAGAGCAGGGGTGTGCTCCTTATAGAAGGACGCTGGAACGCCGACCACACGGAACTCCTTTGACGCAGTTACCCAGACGGCACCTCCCAAACTCCCCAAGCAGATCTGCTCCCGATTGGGCCGGTGTCGCCTGCTGACGTTGGAGGTTTGTCTCCCCCCAATGTCCCATTCCTTTTTGTGCGTCTCTTTCGCATAGGAATTTCCGACGTCGCATCAAACACGTTGAAAACACGTCCAGTCTCTTTCGGTCCAAATCGACGAACCAAATGCTGCACTCTGTCCCTCCATTGACCACCTCTCACCTGACTGTCACACCAAACTTCGAACAGCGGACAGACACTTACCTATAGCAACGGCCACCTGATTGATTCGCACTAACACTACCTGCCTACCAATTTCCTCCCCTAAATCCCTCTCACAAGTACTAATAGGTACGCCTCACTCACGACATTCAATTATGAAATGGCCCCCCACGGTCTCCAGATCTACCAATGCATTCGCTTGGCTCACCGAGCAGGGGATGGGCAGGGATTCCCCGAGCCAATGCCAGGGATTCCCTTTCGCACGTGGACCCTGCGACACCGAGGTGCCTCTCCTGCCGAGTCTTCTGTCCACGTCCAACTTGTTGAGACTTGAGAGAGTGTCTGAAAGAAGGGGGGGGGAAGGAGAAGGCTACATTTCACCAGCGCCGAGCGGCCAACGCGTCTTTCGGCGATATGCCGGTCAGCCTTTGGACGAAGCTGCCGCACCGCAACGTACACACTCACCTGATTTCTACTGTCTCCTGAAATGCCGCTTATCCGGACTACGGCCTACATAGTATCTGTCTTTACAGTACAACTCTTGGCACACCACCGGCAGACAGTCCTCGTCTCTTGTCCTGGCGATGCCGCGATAGAGTTTAGTTTCAGTAGCTTTATTCTATCCTTACGGCCGGCTGAAGTATCTTGTATGGACGAGTCATCTGCGTTTATTCAATATCCGTTCAACCTCCTCGTTCCGTCATTCATCCTGCAGCACTTGCGTACGGATACGCCACAAATAGGAACTCCTGCTTAGCTTTCAGCCTGCGTAGAGTTTGCTGCTGCACTCCCGTTCATGGGAACTGCTCCGGCGACGTACGGGAGGGGGGAGCGGCAATGATTGGGATTTGAGGTTTTCTTGAAGAGTAAGGCTGCGAAATCTTCCGCGAGCCTCCCCGAGAACGAGATAGGTATATATGTCGTGCGCCCGGCCAGCAGCCCGCTTAAGGAGTCTAAAGTGCCAAGCTGCGGAACCGCACCTCATTCCGTAAGGACGCACTGAGGTAAGTTGCGGATGGCTCACTCAACCATGGCTAATTGAACCAGGTGTGAGCTGTGTGGAGTACGAGGCTACCAGTGGGGCGTTCCAACCTCCGTGAGCTCGACGTTGTGCTTTGAGGTTGTCCGTGAGGACCATTGTTTCCGGTCTACCTGCAGGGACCAAATCCTTCGGAATCCAAATGCAAGCCGTACTCCCATTTGTGGCCAAGGAACATTAGGTAATGCGGCATTATCGGTAGCATGAGCCTCATTACAGTCATGTCCCACTCTGTAGTCCAGACTTCACGGTCACGTCAGCGGTACGGTCGAAGGCACTGCATGATCCAAATCCAAAAATTTCCCCATCTATTTTCCTTGATCGCTGAGTTGTTGAAAAAGACTCCAGACCTGTTGAAAACAAAAAAACCTTGAAAAGAAAATCTGTGAGAGTCCGCCCATTTTGCCTCTCTCTACCTATATCGCAACACCCATTTTTTCCCCTTCCTTGGTAGATTTACCACGCGGTAATATCCTCCACCTCAGCCTCGCCAAACGTGCTGCTCTTCGTCAACTGTCCAACCCCAACCTCCTCCACCTCCTCCCCTTGCTTCTCCATGATATCCGGCAGCGTCTGCTTCAAAAAGTCCAGCACATAGCGGTTGACCTGCTCAAACTGGAGCAAAAACGCGTCGTGACCCTCGGGGCTATCGATGCGCTCGAGCCGGGCGTTCTTGACGTGCTCGGCGATTTCTTCCTGCTCGGCGAACGTGAAGAGGCCGTCGCTCTCGATGCCCAGGACGAGCGTGGGCTGCTCGATGAGGGCGAGGGCCTCGGCGATGGTGGGCGCGCGATCACGGGAGACGTCGTGGGTGTCGAGCTTGCGAGTCATGGCGATGTAGCAGTTGCTGTCGAAGCGCTTGACGAACTTTTGGCCCTGGTAGCGGAGGTAGGATTGGGCTGAGAAGTAGGTTGAGGTGGGGAGCTTGTCGCCTCCGGTTAGGCTGTCTGTTGTTGTTGAGGTGGTTGTTGTGGTTTGAGGGCCGTGGAATTGAGGGTCCAGGGACTCGGGGACGGCTGTCTCTGCTGCCGCTGCGCCGTTGACGGACGTACCCTCTGCCGTGCCGATACCGCCTTGGCTGTTCTGTCTCGATAGACCGACGCGCTTGACGTTGTGCCCATCGTTGTGGATGTGGAAGTGCGCCTCGGACGGCGTGCTGGGTCTGGGCCGCTCGCGGATGATCTGCCGCCTCGACGGGTCCGGGATGTTACGTCCGAACCGGGACTCAAAGGAGTTACGGCTGCGGTACGTAAGGAGGGCCGACATGCGGGCGGCGCCGAGACCGGTGGAAGGCGGGTCGTCAAAGGGGTAGTAGCCATCGTCGTACTTAGGGTCGGCGTAGATGCTCTGGCGCTGGGCCTCGCCCCAGGAGATGCCCCAAGCGCTGTGTCTGCTCGAGGTGGCGATGGGGACGACGCAGCGGATGTAGTCTTTGCCGAGGTAGGCCCATTCCAGGACGAACATGCCGCCTAGTGAGCCGCCGATGACTGCGGCGATTTGCTTGACGCCGAGGTCGTCCAGCAGAAGCTTGTGAAGGCTGTGGGAATATGTGAGCCGTGAGCATCTGGAGATGGTGATAGGGGAAACTTACTTGACATCGTCACGGATTGTGGTCAAGGGGAACTCAGGTCCGTAGATGCCCTTCTCGGGATCTCCATCCTTGGCCGTAACGGGGCTTGCCGTGCCGTACGGGCTTCCCATGGCGTTCATGCATACGATGAAGAACCGTGATGTGTCGAAGGCTCTGCCAGGTCCCCCGAGAAGAGGACCCCACCAGTCGCTGACGTCTGCGCTGCCGGTCAAGGCGTGGCAGATCACCATGGCGTTGTCGCCATTAGGCGAGAGCTTGCCTCTGGTCGTGTAGGCGACGGGGACATTGTGAAGAGTGACTCCTGATTCAAGGGTGAATTCAGGGATGATGGCGAATTGTTGCTCCGGAATCAAGGTAGCAAACGGGTTCTCAGGCTGCGTTTGGGTTCTTTCTTGCGGGTATTCAGCAACCGGTCTCATAACTTTATATGAATATTCTCATGGCAACTCAGGTGGGATTACAGGGCAAGAGAACAAGCATAATGGCATGGCTGAAAGTATGAGCCACTAGGCTCATATTGAATAGATGGAACAAGTGATGAAGACGAAATGAGAGGTAATTGGCTCTCCCAGGTTGAGGATAAACTGACCGTACTTCGGCTGAGCGCCGTTCTCTGAATTTTGTGCAGCCATCCCGATCTCGGAATGAACGAGGGGCAGCGTGTACGATGCGAATAGGGGGTCTAGACGTCCTCAATTGAACGTATAAACAGGCCTTGAATAAGGTAGAACAAGGGTAATGTTGCTGGGAATGAAGTCCCTCCGCGATGGCGAGATATGCGAGATATATGAAGAATCTGGGGATTCCGCTTGCTCGATGTGACTGTATGACTGGTCAACGTTCAACGAGGGCAGCCAAAGATTTGCGCCGAAAATGGCGTAATTACTGGCAGCTTTGCCGGTATCTTAGTCGCAGCCGTTATTTCCACGACGAATCATTGGCTGCGGGGGATCGATGAGTCAGCCGAGATCCGGTCAATTGGGAGTCGGACAGCTGGCAGGTCTCCAGCACCGGTACGCTATAAACACCCCCCATGCACAGTCGCGTACCCAATCGAAACCCCCAGTTGGTGACTTCTCTATACAAAAAGCTACCCAGGTACTTTTACTCCGGTACCTTCCACCTCGCAGCCTTCTTCCGTGAGGCTGCTACCCGTTTTCAGTGAAGTGGATCTAAAGCTCGCTCGACTCTAGAGTTGCAACTGCGTCTTCACGCGAGAAATCGTTCATCGTCACCTTTCTGTCGCCAACCCCGGAAATCTCCAACTTTGGAGCGCGACTCTTTCCCGCAATCACAGCAGCTCTATTTCTTTTCGTCGAGCCGATTGCTTGACCCAACCGATTCTACCAGCTATTTTAATTTTCCTTTGTGCACGAACAAGCTACACGCGACAAGCTTCCCATCCTTTCAACCGCAAGGCATCTCTCCCCTCCCCCCGACGCGCGCGCAAATTAATCATCTGCACTTTTACTGACCCTGACAACCTCTACAGACTGGCTTCATCGAGACAGCGCGATACCCAAATGATACCTTGAAAACATCCGCGACGAGAGCACGATGCCTCCCAAGCGAAAGGCTCGTGGTGGCCCTGCAGGCGAAGGCAACAGACCCTCCCCCCATCGACCCGGAGACATGCCGCTGGGCCAGCGTGAACGAGACTTTTCAGAGGGTGGAGGCAGGGGCGGCCGCGGTGGTAGAAACACTAGAAGAAACGACCGCCGAGATTCCGCCCAGGGACAACAATCACAGCCTGGTACTCAGTCGGCAAGCGCTTCCCGCGTCACATCCCCGACTGTTCCCCGGCCGCCCTCTACGCCGTCGCAGCCGCACCATCCCGCACCGATCGCAGTCGAGCCACCCTCAGCACCAATTTCGCATCCGCCCTCCCCAGTACCGACAAGCTACTGCTATGAGCACATCACTGACGAGGCGATTGCTTCCTGGGAAAGCAGCAGCAGGCAAAAGCTAGTCGAACATGGAGTCAGCTCACGGTCGGATGTGGACATCGAGGAGCTGGCCGCCATCTACCAAGAGTTTATCCATGCCGTCATCGAGGGGCGGCTGTCGCCTGTTGACGCTGGCGCTTGCATGAAGGAGATACTCGGCTCGGAATCGCAAGAAATGATTAAGGAGTCTTTCTCGTTCGAGCCTCATACTCTCTTCCTCGACACATGGTCAATCATCTTTGACAATGACCGTGGTCTTTTCAAGCCTCACCTGCGCGACTTCATTCAAGCAACAGGCGTCTCGTCAGAGCTTGTACGCCAAACTCTAGACGCTCCGCTTCTCCAAGATCTGGGCATGATCCGCGAGACCTTCATCAAGCTTGGTATCAGGCGTGCGACGAACCTTCTGTACCGACAAGCAAACTACAACTTGCTACGCGAAGAGAGCGAAGGTTACTCCAAGCTCATGACTGAGCTCTTCACAACTAGTAGCTCAGAGCCCCCGTCAGCCGAGATGGCCCACGCAGCTTTTGAACGTCTTAAGGGCCTCATTGGAACTTTCGATCTCGATGTTGGAAGAGTTCTCGATGTTACACTCGATGTCTTCGCTGCCGTCCTCATTAAGCAGTTCCGGTTCTTCATCAAGCTTCTCAGAGTCAGCTCTTGGTGGCCTCGCAACCAGAACCCGGCCTCATCGACATACGCAGGTGGCCTTCCTCCCTGGGCTCTACCCGACTCGTCGCACTGGATGACCAGCCAAGAAGTCGAACTTGAGACTGCCGAGCTGAGGCGCCAGCGCGATGTCGAGTTCTGGGACCGCGCTCGTGAGGTTCACATCGATGCATTCTTCCAGCTTGGAGGCAGACAAGTCACAGACGAGCACCTCAAGTTGCTTGAAGAATCAGAGTCGGCATCTGAAGCCGAAGTCAACGCTGCATCCGCATGGATGAAGATGACAAAGACGCTTCCGCCCCAGGGAAACCGCACCGCTGCCCAACTGCTTGGCTTCAAGCTGAGGTTCTACGCCTCCGATGCCAGAGATCCCGACGATGTTCTGCCAGCAAATTTGCTTTACCTTGTCGCGCTCCTCGTCAAGGTTGGCTTCATGTCCTTGGTCGACATTTACCCGCACCTGTGGCCTCTTGATGAGGAAATGGACAGCATGAGAGAAAAGAAGATGAAGGAGCTAGACGAGAAGGAGAGACAAAGTCGACCTGGTGCTGCACAAAACGCCCTTCTCATGGCGGGTGCCTTGCCCGACGACAGCGCACCGCCCCCCACGACCCGCACTCGAGTCGCCGCAGGCAAAGCAGATGCCGACGCCAAGACAGACGCCACTGCGGACGAGAAGGAAAAGCTTCCAGAGCCCATGGAGCAGAAGGCAGCTTTACTGATCTGCCTTCTGACCATTGGCGCCATTCCAGAATCCCTCTTCATTCTCGGTCGTGTCCCTTGGCTGCCAGAGGCTTATCCCGAAGTTCTTGAGAGGATTCATCGTATTCTCAACCACAGCGTCGAAAAGGTGTACCAAGAAAGTCGACCAACTCCCGTCGGCTCGACCGAGCCGGCTTCGAAAGCAATTGCCGACATTGACCAAAGCGGTGTACCCAAAGGGTCCGTGAAGCTTTCCACATTGCCAGCCAAGAAGTCAATGAGATGGCCCTTCCCCGACGGATTCGACGGCAGAGATCAACACTACAGATTCTACTGGGACGAATGGGCAGACAACGTCCCAGTCTGCCAGACTGTCGAAGACATATTCACGTTATGTGACACGTTCTTGAATCTTTCGGGCGTAAGCATCGGCAAAGATCCTGCATTACTGGCAAAGTTTGTCAGCATCGGAGCGAAGAGTTTGGCAGAGGACCGCTCTCAGCACAACATGGACCGTTGGCAGGACCTCTTGCGGCGCATCCTGGTTCCTGCCCTCAGCATGACCAACGCCAATGCAGCCATTGTCAACTCCGTATGGGACCTGCTCAAGCTATACCCCGTCACCATCCGATACTCCATCTATGCTGAATGGTTTGAAGGCCAGATTTCCCGATTGCCGGCAATGAAAGCAGCCTTCACTCGCACGCGTGTGGAAACCAGAGGCGTGATGAAGCGCGTTTCTCTCACGAATCTGAGCGAGATGGCCAAGTCGCTAGCCAAGACCAGCTACTCGTCGCCAGGTATTGTCTTCAAGGAGGCTCTCGGCCAGATCGAGGCCTACGCAAATCTCATCGAAGCCTTTGTTGAGTGCGCCAAGTACTTCACTGATTTGGCCTACGATGTCCTGATCTGGTCTCTCGTGAGCTCCATGGGTGGAAAGCGAAGTCGCACGCAGGAATCATCCATCCTCCTGACCAGCAAGTGGCTTCAGGCACTTTCCAAATTCGCCGGCAAGGTCTTCAAGCGCTACTCCATCCTAGACTCGACTCCGATTCTCCAGTATGTGAACGACCAACTCTTCCAGGGCAACTCGACCGACTTGATTATTCTCAAAGAGCTCGTGTCGTCAATGGGAGGTGTTGTGCAAGTTCTTGACTTTACCGACGACCAAATTTTGGCCATGTCTGGAGGAGAGGTGCTGCGACGCCAAACGCTGCTCAGTCTTCAAGACAAGCGGTTTGAGTCGACTCGCAGCGCCAAGCGTCTCATGCAGTCCCTTGTCGACTCGAAACTCGCTGGACGCCTGCTCATCAATGTTGCTCAATACCGACAAGCCGCCATCTACAAGCTTCCCGACGATGAAGCGCACATCAAGTACATTGGTTCGGTTATTGATGACAGTCATCAGATCCTGGTTCAATATCTCGATCTTCTACGGACCAATCTCGAACCCCACGAGTTTGATGCGTTGGTACCTGCTATCACCATGCTCATGGACGAGTTTGGACTTGACGCAAGCTTGGCGTTCCTGATCGGTCGTGAGGGTGTTGCTTACAACATGTTCGCCAAAAAGCAAGATTCCGCAACCACTACCGACTCCGACGGCGACTTGTCAATGATTCAAGACGCACCCGAAGCAAAAGAAGCCGCGGAAGAGTCGACTGAGTCGGAGGACAAGAAGCTGACACCGCAAGAGGTTCGGGAGAGAGCAAAGAAGGACGCCGGACGCCAGATTCACGAGGCGCTCGACCCCATCGTTACGTCAATGAAGTCTATAACACCAGATTCTTCATGGACTAAGCTCAGTCCGGAGTTCTATGTTCTCTTCTGGGCTCTACAGCTCGGTGACATCGAGGTCCCAGCCGCGAGCTACAACAACGCTCATAAGAGACTGTCGAACCTGAAGAAAGAGCTCGACAGAGATCGCTCCGACATGAGTCGCAGCGGCATTAACAAGAAGGAAGCCAAAAAGGCCGAGCTCCTGAAGATCAGCAACGAACTGCCCAAAGAAGCGGATCACCAGATGAAGCGAGCAAGAGTCGTCCGAGACTACATGACGGACCGCATGGAAACTTGGTTCACAGGTTCAGCCGCGAAGTTGAACGGTGTCTCGGATGCTGTCCTCGAGCAATGCTTGCTTCCTCGGCTAGTGCTCTCGGCTAGTGACGCTGAGTACTGTTACGTGTTCATCAAGAAGCTCCACATGTTCGGCGCACCCAACTTCCGTCTAAAGGCATTGTATGATAGGCTCTTCAGCGTCAACCGACTGCGGGCTATGATCTTCACATGCACAGTCCGCGAGGCAGAGCATTTGGGCAGGTTTCTCAACTGCGTCCTCAAAGACCTGTCCAGATGGCATCGCGACACGAATGCTTACGACAGAGAAGCGGTCGGCAAGCGCAGCTTCTTCCACGGATTCGCTACCGAATTCGATGACAAGGGACAGCCATCATCTTATTATGATCATGCGCAATTCCGCGACATCTTGTACGGGTGGCATAGCAAGCTCAACTTGGCGTTGAAGTCCTGCCTTGCCGGCATGGAGTGGATGCACATCCGTAACGCCATGACAATCCTGAAGGCGGTTCTCGACCACTTCCCAGCTATCACTTTCATGGGCACACAATTCATCGATCAACTCAAGACGATTACAGACCGCGAGGCAGCTTCCAAGACCGCATCTGCTGGGGAGGAGGGACATCGCGTGGATCTTTCAGTCGCTGCGCAGGGTGCCCTGTCAGAACTGCAGAGGAGGAAAGACAAGTGGATTATCCCCGCCGGTTTCCGCCCAAATATGGTAAGAGAACCAGACAACCAAAGATTCGGGATCATACTAACCCGTGTAAAGAATGGTGGTAAGGCCAAGGACGAGTCGACAACTACCAATTTGCGCCCGACCGCGACTGAATTCCAGCCCAGATCAGCCAGGTTTGTTGCTTTGAGGACGCGCCCTCTCAAGCTTCAACTAACATCAATTTGCAGGACCGCGGCAGAGCAGGAAGATGGCGAAGTCAAGGATGGCGAAACCAAGGACAGCAAAGATGCTGGGTCCCGATCAGCAGCACCCTCGGCGCCAGCCACGCTTACCCAAAAGGATGCCAACTTGCCTCCCAAGCCATCCTCCTCCCAGCCGGACACAGCGAAGGGAGGCTTCCCGCGTGGCGACCTCGGTTCCACTACCTCAAGCAAGCCGCCTACGCCAAAGCCAGCGAATGCAACACCCTTGCCGAATAATGCGAACCACCGGGATGTGCCCAGATCAACTCCTACACCTACAGGACCAGACAGAAGTGCGCACAATCTGCCCAAGCGACCAGACGTCCCTATCCCCGGCCATTATGGTCGTACTCATTTCACTCCTGACGCTTTGCCAGACCGGGTCCGAGAACAGAGAGATCCGCGGGAGCCTCGCGGTCCCAGGGACACAAGAGAGACTCGAGATACCAGAGATCACAGAGACCCCCGCGAGCTCTCAAGAGAACCAAGATTCGCTGAGCCATCACGTCCCGACCGCAGTCGAGACTTTTCTGGACAAGATCGAAGAGGACCAGATGCTCCCCCTAGAGAATCTGGTCGCCTGTCCGAGAAAGATTGGCCTTCGAGGCCGGACTCGCTGCCCCCTCGTCGCGATCACGGGCCCCATGAGCGGGAAGGTCGTCCTTCTCGGGAAAGAGTGCCCCCAACAAATGGACGCGTTTCTGAATCAGGGAGACTGTCGAGAGAACCTGCTGTCGCCACCCCGCCATCACAACCCACTGAGAAGCCAGCCGAGGATCCCCCTGTCAACCCTGCCCGGTTGGCCTTGATCCAAGGAGACCAACCTGGTAGGTCCAACCGCTCCGACCGAACCCCTCGATCATCAGAGACAGACCGGCGAAGCGGCCGGGGACCACGCCCTCAGGAGACCCAAGGTCACGAGCAGCGGACTCCTGACCAGCGTGCTCCGGAACCAGACCGTGCCGAAATGATCAACCCTGAACGTGCTGCTCTCATCGGCGAGCCACGAACTGAAGTGCCAGCCAGGCCGGCACGAGATGAGGTTAGAGATCGAAATGCTCCACGAGGTCATTCACCTAGGAGAAGCGGACGTTTCAATCCAGAAGCACCAGCAGATCCAGCGAGGGATGACAGACATGGTCGCTCCCATCACTCGGACCACCGATCCTCTGGAAGAGAGACGCATGCAGAGCCTCCCGCCTACAACCCCAGGACAGAACGCATTGGCGATAGAGATGGTGACCGTTCCGGCCAAGACAAGAGCAGAGAGGCATTTATGGGTCCTTCCCGGAACTCGGAACCTGACCACGGCCGCACTGCTCATCAGGATCAAAACTACGGTCGGCTGAACCACCCAATCCAGTCGGTAGTTGCCCCTAATGAGGTTCCACTGGGTCCCCGGGGTCGCGGCCGAGCGTCTGCCCGAGGTGGATCCGCGGGCACCCCTAACTCGCGATCCGATGGCCGCTTCCCGAATGCAGACAGCCCGGCGGCACCTGAAGAAAGGCATCCACCCACTGGTCCAGCCGCCTCAGGCAGGGGACGTCGGAATCAGTACGAGTCTAATGCGCCCGTCAACTCTCCGTCTGCTATGACGCCGACTCCAGCAGCACACCCCGATCGCTCACGTGCTATCAATTCGGGTCCAGCAGGCTCACCCACTCCAGCCTCGGGAGGGCCTACCTTGGCTCCTGGTATTCACCCTGATCGACTGGCACAAATTGCTCCACCTCCGCCTCCGCCTCCTGGGCAGCCACCAAGCCACGGTCACTCTCGACCGCCTGTGGCCCCTATCAACACACCAGACCGCCCATCCGGAGGTCAAGGCGGTAACATCAGAACACCGACGGGCAGTTTCCCAACGCCTACCGACGGGGTGCCGTCTGGACCATCATCGAATGATCGAGGTCGCAGCGGTGGCAGTCGTAGACAGCTTGCGGGTATCAACAGCACGTTGCAGCAAGCACAAGCCAATATGCCAGAAACCAACAGAGGCACTAGTATACGCGGGCGTGGGGTTGCCAGAGGTAGTATCGCTGGCTCCGATGCTCAAGTTCTGACAGGTGCATCACCGGTGTCTACGCCAGTCCAAGAACGTCCTGTTGGACAAGAAAGGGCACAGACAAACGGCGAGGATCATCAACAAACCGAGCATGACCGTGGCCGCCGCGAGCATCGTTCAGAGCGTGGCCGACATTCGAGACGAAGCAGTCGTGAACGAGAGCGCAGTCCTGGTCGAGAAAGGGATGGTAAGGAGCCCCGTGAACACAGGGAGAGAAGGTCTGGGGCTCAAAATCAGTCATCCACTGGTCGAGAGGAACGTGAACCCCGACGCTCTGGTCGAGAGCCATCCGGCAGCACTAGGGAGTCGCATGCGAATCCTGCCCACGGCAGTAGCCGGGAGAACACGGGGAGCAGTCGCGAAACTCGCCACCGTAACGATCGTGGAGATGGCGGACGTGGAGACGTAGCTACGGGAACAAGGAATGAAGAATGGGCAGGGAATCAGCGAGGCGCGCCTAGAGGAGGACCTCGCGAGGGAGGTCTAAGACCGAACGACGACCGACGCGAAGATCGGGGCCGAAAGCGTCGAAGCGAAGACGCAGCAGGCTTCCCAAGCGAACGAGAAAAGAGGCAAAGACGCTAGGAGCGGCAGCCGATCTTCTGAAGGAATGAAGGCACGCGAAGTCAACTCGAGGGGATGAGCGACTAGAGAAAGTCATGTTGTACGGAAGATGCCATGGGTCTACACACGACACTTCGCATAGAATGGACGAGAGAAGAACCGCATCCCCCGACGAAAGAAGAAACATTCATTACCACTATTTTACAATTGCTTCTATTATTTACAAGTACTGCATTGGAGGGTTTCGGTTGCACGACCGCAGTGGTCCAAAGGAAGGGAGACCAAAGTCAATATCAGATACACACACAAAACAATCCACTCTGTATCAAAACCAAACACACAACATCGTTCAGAACAAAGGAACACCATTGGCATTGTACAAAGGCGAAATACCGGATGGCTACGTCAGCCTCGGATGAGCCTGCCGCGGCGGCACTTTAGACATGATCGCGGCACACAGCCAGCACACATTATGATTATACCTTCGACACCGAAGCATCTGCTTTTCTATGATACCCCTCAACGTCTCTATTTTCTATAAGCTACAGGGCCCCTAAGTAGACGAAGGGGGGCCCGACGCCGGCAACAGACGGCAGACCGTAGAATTCCCATCGCGTACGCGAACGTACGCGATGAGACAAGTGTACATCAGCCATTCGGACATTGGTGAAGCAAAGGGTACGAAAAAGGGTATGGGGAATGGGAGGGAAAATATTTCATGGCTGTATGGGTTGTAATATCAGAGTGGGCAGTAGCTTTTTCCAGGTCTCATCGGCGTTCACGGTGATAGGAAGTAGACTTGCCCCAATCCGATTGTCTTATTCGGAATGAACTTGACTTGTCACTGTGATTGATGTCTGTTGCCTACGCGGGAGGGGGGTGCGAATGGCAGAGCCTAGGTACACATGACTGCTGTTCAGGTGAAGGGGGGTGGGTTGTTTAGTTAATTCCCCTAAAGGGTCAGTCGGCTGGTTGGGTTGGGAGCGGTTCCTACGTCTGCACAAGAGACCAGTTAATTCGACTGTGCAGTCTGGATATTGACTGTGTGCCACTGCCACTAGCATTCGTATCAAGGGATTGCGAGAATGGTCAAGCCTATTTTAGTCTCGATATTCCTCCTTCGCTCTTGTTCGCAATTTTATAAGTCCTTCAGGAGTATTGTGACGTGATGGTGGTGGTGGTGGCGGTAGACCAATAGTGGTAGTAGGCCTGGCTGGCAGTGGCACACAGTCAATATAGCCAGACTGCACAATCAAAATAACCGGATTCACGCGAAAGGGCCTTTTCTCCCCTCTTTAATTTTAAGAAACAGTTTGAGGGATCAACTAGCCCTTAAATCCTCTGCTAGAACAGCTCCTCTATTCTGGGAAGGCTGCTCTGCTGGCATGGTAGGCCAAGATATAAGAGGAAGGGGTGCACTTGCTATTAAGTCAATATAAACAATACACTATGTACCTTTGTCGCAGCGCCACACGTGGCGCTGCCGATTATTACAGTATAACACTGCCTTTTATAAGCCGATTACCTATTTTATAGTTATAGTTATTGGAAAGTATAACGTGGTTGATAAGCGAGTGGATCAGACAAGCGAGTGGATCAGCCGACCGCGACCAACATATCTTCCACCCTTCATAGGCGTTACGCCACAACCAAGCATGTCATCACAAAGTAATGAAGGCCAGCTAACCTTAGCGGTTCAGGCTATCAAAACGACACCAAATCTTAGTATCCGAGCGGCATCCCGGATCTACTCAGTACCCTTCTCAACCTTACGCCATCGTCTAAGGGGAAAGTTATCACGACGCGACACTATGCCTAGATCGCGGAATTTGACTACGCTTGAAGAAGAGAAGCTAGTTGAGTATATTCTCGACCTAGATTCCCGATCATTCCCTCCCCGCATTAGAGGTGTGGAAGAAATGGCTAATCGACTGCTCGCCGACCGCAACGCGCCCCCAGTTGGGAAGCGCTGGGCTTCGAACTTCGTCAAGCGACAACCACAGCTCCAGACGCGCTTTTTTCGCAAGTACGACTACAAGAGGGCCCAATGCGAAGATCCAAACGCCATAAACGCGTGGTTTCGCCTTGTGGCGAACACAATCGCGAAATATGGTATTGTGGACTCTGATATCTATAACTTTGATGAGACTGGGTTTATGATGGGCCAGATTGCATCTGGGATGGTCGCCACGAGCGCCGAAAGGCGTTCAAACACGCAAATGATGCAGCCTGGTGACCGTGAATGGGTTACAGTCATTCAGGCCATTAGTTCGTCGGGCTACAGCGTCCCGCCGTATATCATCGTTGCAGGCCAATATCACCTCTCCACCTGGTACACGGAAACCAATCTCCCACGCGACTGGGTCATTGCAACGTCTGACAACGGATGGACAACAAACGAAAGAGGCCTAGATTGGCTCCAGCACTTTGATCGGCATACAAAACTGCGTGCAACTGGCAGTTATCGCCTCCTCGTCGTCGATGGGCATGAAAGTCACCACGCTGCCGACTTCGAGATATATTGCAAGGAAAACAATATCGTCACACTCTGTATGCCGGCCCATTCGTCTCATCTGCTTCAGCCCTTAGACGTTGGGTGCTTTGGGCCACTAAAGACGGCTTATGGTCGACAAATTGAGGATAAGATGCGCCGGGGTAATACGCATATTACAAAGGAAGACTTCTTCCCTGCGTTTCGCGAGGCTTTTGCCCAAGCTATTACGGAAAAGAACATTCAGGGAGGTTTCAGAGGGGCTGGGCTTGTCCCTTTGAGTGCCGAAAGTGTGCTTTCAAAGCTTGATATCAGGTTACACACTCCAACACCTCCAGGATCCCTCCCAACAACACCCCCTGCGTGGACTTCTCAGACGCCAAACAACCCAACAGAAGCATCTTCTCAGTCTGAACTCATCAAAAGGAGGATCTCCCGCCATCAGAATAGCTCACCAACTTCAATTATTGAAGCTGTTGAGCATCTATCAAAGGGGGCGCGTGGATTTATGCACCAGATTGCGTTATTAAGGTCTGAGAACAAAATCCTTCGTGAGGAAAACAACCTACTAAGCCGGCGCCGGAGGGCTAAGAAAACACGTCTCAGACAAGGAGGAAGTCTTACTATAGCTGAGGCTGAGGACCTTCAGTCGCAGAGAGAAGCAACAGCTCAGATCGAGGAGGAAACACGCCGGAGTAGTGGTCGCCGACCGAGGACCGAGACGGGCCAACGGCGATGTGGCGTCTGTGGGAACACTGGTCATAATGCACGAACATGTCAATTTGCTGAAGAAATGTCTGAAGAAGAGGATCTTAAATAGTTTCAATTGAATTACTTTTCTTAGTGCTGCGTATCGGTCGCAAATGTGCTGTGGTCGCGGTCGGTTGATCCACTCGCTTATCAACCACGTTAGTTAACGTTAGTATATTAAGTCAAACCCCCCACTTCCTGGCACCCCCCCTGTTTCTGGCACCACAAAAACGATGGGATCACAACCCGACCTCCTCATTACTATTAACTATTGATCCTCAACCACACCCACTACAATACAGCTGCCAGCCTCACTAGGGCATTCAGAGTCGCTGGATTCAGCCGTGATAACCTCCTTTTCACCCGCTTCGATTTGAGCCCGATGGATATCCCTGATGTTCGCGAACTTCGTGTTGGGATCGATTTGAACAGTCTTCCTCTTCCTCACTGCAGCGTTGGTAACTTGAGCCCTCAGGTGAGCTAGTTGCTGCTGGGCAGCTGCCAGTTGCCAGGCCTGCTCTGTGAAGCCTTTTTTCACCTTCCTGAATAGCAGCCGTTGAGTGCTGGTATCATTGTCGAGTTGGGTGTATAAGTGCAGTTGACCGCTGAGCTCTGCCAGCTTCCTGGGTGTCGACCAGACCACTGCAGAGGAGGCAGAATCCCATGGCTCAACAGGGGTAGTTTGTTGACCATTATGGCATCGCTTTCTGCCCTGACTAGTTGGTTTGGGTGTGGTGGGCTTAGCAGGAGGCTCAGGTAGTACCATAGGGTTCATCAGGGGCTTAACCATCGCCACAGGGTGTAGACCAGTCCACTTCCAACCACTTCTGATGTTCGAGACTGATAGACCAGCAAGTCGAGCCTTCTGGTAACAGTCCAGGAAGTTCCTTTTACCTATAATGGTAGAGTCGTTCCATTGAGACAAGTAACCGAGCTCCTTCCGATAGGCTGACTTAACAGGGCTGAAGACAGACTGGTCAAGAGGCTGGAGGACATGAGAGGAGTGTGGTGGTAAGAACAGTAAATGGATATTGTTAATATAGCAATTCCACATGAAGTCTGTCGTCGTATGACTCCCATGCCCATCCACAATCAGCAGTCGAGCCTCCCCCTCAGCCTCAGGCATAGTCTGTGGGATGAACACCTTCTCTAACCATTCAATGGCAGTTAAGTCTGTAGTCCAGCCATTATCTGTTGCTGTGAACTCCCACCCATCGTATGGAACGAGATGTAATGGAAACCACTGCTGTTGGACTGTCTTCCCCTTGAAAATGATAAGAGGACGAAGTGCCCTACCCAAGGCTGAGATACACTCAATGATAGAGACCCATGCCCTCGACCCAGGTTGTTTCTTGCGAACAGACGTCGTCTCAGCCATACCCAGCACTAACCCATTAGCTCCCTGACCCTCGAGGATGCCAGTCTCATCCATATTATATCTGTTGGCTGGTTTGATGTCCTTGATCTCAGGGATAGCGAGGAACTTAAACCAGTTCCTAATGACCTCAGTAGATGCCCCATTAACGCGTCTAGAATCGATAGAACGACTTCTCTGAACCTTAATGATAGGGTTCCTTCTCACAAAGGCATATATCCAGCCTTTTCCCAGTGGTTTGGTATCCCCAGCAGCAGCCAGAACTCGCTCTGCGAATTCCTTCACCTGTTGGTGCGTTGGTGCGAGGCCCAGCGAAGCCTGAATGCGAACCCATTGTGCCAGCTTACTCTCCTGGTCAGGAGACAGCCTCTGCCAGTCAGCAAAAGCCACTTTCCTAGTCTGACCACCTTGGAGACGTAGTTGGAGGGTTGATCGTGGTATCCCATACTCCAATGAGGCTCTCTTTTGACTCTTGCCGTTTGAGATGTCCTCGAGAGCCTGACGAAGCTGATCTTCGGTATATTGAGGCATTAGATATAGAAGAAGGTATGTGCAAAAGATGAGCCCATCTGGACGCGAATTGAAAATGTTGTGATAAAAGGAGGTTGGGGGTGGGCATTGGGTTGTGGTGGATTTTCGCGTTTTTGTGGGTGCCAGAAACAGGGGGGTGCCAGGAAGTGGGGGGTTTGACTTATCGTGTAAGTATAAGTCGCAGGCTATGGAAAATGGATTTACTTATTACGTAGGTTAGCTAGTTATAGTTAATATGCTTAATTAATAGATTTAGATTTATAATCTTATTATAAAGAAGTCGGTAACTATAAGTAAAGGGTCCTTTATCAGTTATTAGGCGCTCGAGGCGTCTGACTAGTCGACTATCGAAGGCATTATTAACGTAATAGACGCCTCCTCTTATAAGATTCGAGAGGTCAAGGGAGCACGATTCCTCTATCCCGTTTAGTATTAGAGGGTCGTCTCTTTTACTTTTGCAAGATACCTTACTGATCTACAATAGTGGAATTTAACCACTGATCAGTATTAGTATCCCTATCACAGGGAAGTTAGTTCGAAACGTAGGGTCCTGGGGGTAACGAAGTATCAATATCTCTATATCGATTAATTCTGCGTAAGGAGTAGAAGGGAGATTCCAACCGGAGGTTGGGTGGACCGTCGAGGTGTAATTGTACCCTCTCGAGGTGGCTCCTGCTCTACCCTTACTCACGGTCGAATTGGGCTTCCAATCCGACAGTATTAGCTCCTTGATCAGACTCAATCTCAAGGCTTTGCGTGTTTCAACCAATATTTGCCCCAATCGCGCGAATCACTCTTCCCTTTCTTATTGGTATTTTTGCCCCTCAATCGGGACCTCGATCTCTCCGCTTGAGAAAGAGCAATGTGACAACTCAGCATCAGGCTTAGATACTACACCCCAGCGCAGTGCCTTTGTCCACATCTCTAGGTCTTCACTTGTTGCTGGGTGGCAGGCCGCGGAGATTGCAGCACTGCAACTGCCTGCCACCGGGATTCCCCCGTAACGCAAACGACGAAACCCCGACGCAAGAAGAAACGCGACCATGATCGTACCTGCCACAATCACACATATGATGCCAATCGGTGACCACCCACAGGACATGACGTTATCATACTCTCTAGTGGAATGCTCCTTTAGATACCAACCCTCAATATTGACGAGGAAGATGCTCTGCGAAATAAGCCAGTGCATTCCACCAGAAAATACGGTCAGCGGGAGAGAGTATCGGTAAGGGAGTTGAAGGAAATATGTTTGCCGCTGGTCACCTTGTGGGCGGGAAGAAACCCTTAGACCTTTCAGTTCTTTTCCATTTCCAATCCGATCCCACTCAGTGACAAGAGACAAACTTGTGAATAAGGCGTTATAGCTGAAATAGATCATTGACATGATGACTTGCGGGGTATTGGCAAGTAAGGCGTTAAGGATAAGGGTGCCAGAATCGTAGCTTAGCGTGCCAATGTCCAAAACAGTGTCGCTGTGTGCTTTCCCGAGTCCATATTTTGTGATGTCTGAGTCGCCGACCTGATATCTGTTGGCGCGCAATCCCACCGCTAGCAGCAATGTGCAAACAAGAATGGCTAAGGAACATCTATTGTCATTAGCAACATATAGGTAGAGGCATACTATGAGTGAAAGACTTACATAGCTATCGTGGTCGTCCATCGCAGACGGCTTCCCGCAGCGAATTTACGCCGTCGTATGAAGCGAAACTCTTGTGAACCGAAATCCCATCCCAACTTCCTTACACTTGACTTCGATGCAAGAGCCATGGCTTTCGTATACTCATCTTCATTCCTCAGGAAAGACGCCAAAGCATCGCCTATTGTTAAGATCGGCCTTTCCATGTTTCCGTACGCCACAAAAAGCATCAAGATGCCCTTGACTAAATTGAGGGTAGTCACAGTCCAGCAAAGTCCGCTGCTGAAAAGCAGCTTGCATTGCTCCTCTCTTCTCTGACTATAGCAGCCTTTTACTTCGTCATTATATCCTATAGTCCAGGTGGCATTGCTCTTGATGTCTGTGAGTCTCTCGTCGCAAGAAGGTTTTCTATCGTAGTAGTATGCGCAAATCCAGTTAAATGGAAACTGCAACACACCACCATACTCGGATACTGGTACTACAGCAGAGAATGTCGTTCCGTTATCTACCACGACGACCAGATCACCTCGCGAAGACTGAAACGCGGTTCCGTACGCATCCAGACATTTTTGGTTGTCGAGATAATCATATTGCGTAGTGTTCGAATCTGGGAGTAGCTTTGCTAGCTCGACCGGTAGTCCTTGAGAAATATCGCCTCGATCGAAGTTGTTGACGCCAGTCTTGTAAAGTTTGTATATGCTTGAGGAAGTAGAGGTAAACACAATCGAATTGAAGCTATAGAATAGTTAGCCATTAATCAAAATACAACTTCAAGATTCTCAAGGTACTGTACAGTAGATGTAGTGGAAAGGAAGACACTGCTAAGAGACTCCAGACGATCTTTCTTTGCAAAGCAATGCTCCAAAAGTTCCTAATACTTGGGATACCGATATCGAGCCAATTATTTTTGGCATGTGCGCTTTCGATCTCATCCCGTGTCGGGGCAATCAAGCATTGCATACAGTAGTTGCTTCCTGTTAGTAGGACCGTGCTGATGATGTTGATTACGACGTGAGCGCCTGTATTCCAACTTTTGATTCTCTGGCAGTTGCCGCTTGTTATAACTCCTATTCCAGGACGTTTGATATCGTTCGACCCGTCGCTTTGGCGTGTCATGGCCCAGATGATGAAGGATAGATTGACGATGAACGTGACAAGTGCGGCGGCGGCGAAGACAAGAGCACTTCTTCTCCAGCGGCTTCGAGGAATAATTCCTTTCCCCCTGATGGAGAAGTGCATGGTTGCCAATCTTGAAACTTCAACGGAGTTGCGATACGTTGGTGGTGTGGATGGAAGAGAATGGTTTTCGCGAAGAGATGATTTGGAAAGTCAGATACCGTTCGACTACCATTGTGTGAGGGAGCCACGGAAATTAATATCTTCGTTTTCTCGGGGCGGCCTCCCTGTTTCTGAGAATCAGGCTGCGATATCCCTTTTGCGCTACGTAGCCCGTTGCCACCACACTCACAGCATTTCAGTTCGAAAGTCCCCGGGTACGTAAACGTTACCAAGTCAGAACCGGAAGCGCGAGGTAGCATCTGCCCTGAGACGGCCAATTGAAAATCATCTATTCAAATAAGCAAGCCTACATGTATGCCTGGACTCTTGTTTACCATCACGTTCTGCCGCTCATTCGGGCATCCCAAATTGCTAGCCCCCAATGATCAGAAAGTCTGCCCCTTGCACGTTGCAGACCGAACTAGCCTTGCCCAAGGGGCCAAGGATCAAGCAGATGCATATCACGACGCGTACAACACCAAGCTTGATCATGCCCGAAGCCTTCTTTAAAGTAACCTTTGGGACTTCTCCGTTCGCGGTCTTCGATCAAGCTGTGACGTTGCGTCCGGATTGACGCCATCGACTTGCGGCCGCCTGCAGCAAAGGCTCAAAGCAGGTAGCTAACTGACAGAATTCGGAATTGTACCGTTGCGCCATATACAAAAGAGAGATCCCTCTACTGCATTTAGGTAGTTGTGGGTACATATAGTTTCCGTCACTAACCATTTCGCCGGCGACAGCTGATACACGTTGTTACGGGCTGGACCCGAGTAGTGGACCCGGGCCAGCGCCCGGATATTTTGCCACGATTGACCGCGCGGGCTCTATTACGCCTACGCTCCACCTCTGCGGAAGCTCCGCTTGTAAATCTCTTCTCGTCAGCTTAGATTTTATATACAGAAATCACCCCTACGTGACCACACGAGGGCTGGGCTCTTAACACACGCAAGGTAGTTCTCGGCAAAGCGGGCGCCAAGACGGGTGGCAAGCTGTTGACGGGAGGCGAGGCAGGCAGGCTGGTCGAAATGAACGGCTTCTGGCCAAGAATACATTTCTTGTCGTTGCACAAAACCACGTAGGAAGACGCAGCTGACGTGAGAAGCCACCACCTCCTAGTCCAAATTTCTTATTCACCATTCCAGATAAAGCAGAGGGAGCCGGCAGGATTGACGCCCTTTTCTGTCGAGATTATCAAGATAGGTCCGATTACAGCCCGCTGGATTCTGAGGGGGCGGAGACGGCGGACGGAGCGGAGGGGGAGGGAGACTTGGCAGCTGAAATGTATCAAAATTGCGTGGACTGCATGAGTGAGACTTGGCATCGTCGCATACTGAGACGAGAGAGACAACTCAGATATTTCCGTCTTACTTACCTACTCTGGATTAGCCTGGGTACGAATCCAACTCTGCTGCAGCACGCAAGACTCTTTAATCAGTAGGTAAACGTGTTTGAAAGGGTTCAATCTTTCTCTCTTGCCAATGCTACAGCATAGGCAGACTTTGAAATCGTCAGTCACATTTTCTTACTCGAATACTTGTGCTACGAGCAAATAAACGCGGAAATGGTGACTGTCTCCAAAGATGGGGCCAGGGATGTTAAGCGGCGGTGCCTATGGCAGCATATGGGTTGTACCTGAAGCGACGGATTATCCACATGAATAAGCTTATATTTAGTCTATAACATACCTCGGTTGGACTAATGTGTAGGGTTGCCGCTCATGCCCGCATACACGGGTCAGGATCCAATACTTTGTTTACTCTCACCCGATTCGCGATGTCGCACTTTGCCAAATCACGGCCACGACGCCATCAGGCTTCCCCCAGAAACCCTATTTTGTACCAGAACGCGGTAAAAATAACTACTCCGTACCGTCTCACGTGGCCACTTTCTACATCAAGTAGAATGTAATCCATGTGGACCTGGCCTCCCTCTTTTCCCACAGCCCACTTCCAGGCACGTCCAAGGCGTCGCCCAAGCTACTTCCTTTCAACATCCTCCCTATGCTAAACCGCCCGCCAATTTCTTATGTGCTCTTACCCGCAGCAAAGCTCCATGACGTCTACGACACCTCACAATAAATACGAAACGTCTAGACCTACCCCCATTGCGGGCTTAGGAATTGAGCTCCTGCTGCTATGCCCCCGACGCGCAGCCGGCTCAATATCAACATGCAACTACATTGGTCGAACTTGAGAGGTAGCACACCAAATCAATGCACAGTGATAGTCAACGGACGAAAAATGCAACAGGAAGCAATCCTCCATAATGAGATGAATGTACACATCCCCTAAGGTAGACTGAACAGCATGTCGTGCCATTTCAATCGCAAGGCTGCGCTAGACGATCAATAATCCGATTCGTGGGATCGGATTAAGAGGTGCAAAATTCAGGTGGCATGGCAATGGTCTCGGCCGGGGACGAGTCTGCTACGTTGAGCTTACATGTACATACCATCACGCAAAGTCGATTCTGTGAAAGATGGCATATTCTTTCATTGGTCATAGTGCAAATCCACCAGTTGCGAGATGTCATCCACGACTGATGGCCAGATAAACTACAGGTAACAAACAAGGTGCCTGTGGGCCACCTATGGGAAAAAGTGCCACCAAATATCAAGTCCTCCCCATGGAAGATGTAGTCCGTCCGCCTGATCTTCAGGCTTTTCCAGTTCACGCCCAAGTCCGTTGCTAGAAGCAGGTCGCTGAAAGTGGTAGAGTATGTACACTTAGGTGCGTACCGCAGAAAGATATAAACAACCAGGCCGCCATTCGCCTTCCTCTTAGCGGCCTGGGCCGTGAAGAGAATTTTTCAGCAGCTCATACATCTCATTGTCGCCGGGAGAGTAGCTATGGCCCGACATGTTAAGAGAGCCATGCTGCTGCTGGTATGCTTGATTGGAGGAGCTGGACCCGCTCCCGTAATTGGAGGAAGTGTTACCTCTCGTGGCATAGCCTCCAGAGACGTTGGCTGGCGTGAAGGAAGTGTTAGACCCCGAGCCGAACTCATACCAGTTGTGTTGGTCAGGCTGGGTTGATTGCTGCTGGGTCTGATTTGCGTAAGATCCATACGATTGTGCTTGTTGCGGCTGCTGATTTGTGTTCCTCGAGGACGACCTTGGCTGAGTGCTGCTCGCTGCTGAATTTCGCATGTTAAACGACTGCAGAGAGGATGACTGCTGCTGAGTCGTCGACGGCTGTTGAGCGTAAGTGTTCGCCGCCGCCGTGGTGTTGGTATTATTGTATGATTGCGCATTGCGCGATTGCGATTGGTTGTTGTACAACTGTCCGGACCGCGCATTACCGCTGGAGGTGTGTGAGGCAGTGGCATTGGTTCTGTCGTAATCATACGAAGGGTAAGCAGACGTGGTCGCAGTGGTGTTTTGCGCCGCGTAGGGTTGATAAGCAAGTCTGGTGGTATCCAACTCAGTCGAGTTGTTGCTCTGGCTAGAGTACTTCGGAGTGTAGTTGTTGTAGTTGGAGACATTGCTCAAGGATTGGGTATCATTGTAGGTTGATGATTCCATCGTCGCTGAAGTTGAAGGTTGGGCGGTGTGGTGGGAAGGTGTGGCACGGGGTTCATTGACCGGAGTACGAGTGGAGGCTCTCTGTCCAGCTCGACTCTTAGTTCGGGCTGCCTGTACAGGCGCCTGGAATGGCGAGACCTGGGCCGGGGTAACTGTTTGGACAACTTGAGCTGCTTGCTGTGTAGGGGAAGGCCGATGTTGCTGTTGTTGCTGTTGTTGCTGTACAGCGACATGGGCCGCAGTCTGTTGCGTGTTCCGGTAGGATGTCTCCTGGGGAGCGACGGTGGTCGCAGCCGGCATCTGGGTCGACCTCCGCGGCCTGTGCTGCTTGGTCATCATGGTAGGCGAAATTGTACTCGCTGCCCTAGGAGGAGAAATGCTTTGCCAGTTTTGTGCGTAACTGGGAAGCGGAACAGGGCTTTCAGCCGTGGGCTGCTGTGTCTGTCCTGGTCCAGATGGCAAGCTGCGCCGTGAAGAGGTTCTCGTCGCCCTAGGGCTCTTAGCCGCGGGTTGAGAGTAACTCAGACTCGACGTGTTGTCATTGCTGGCGGTTGTATAGCTGTTCACGTCTGTGCTCGGTTGAGCGTATGTTGCCGTGCCGGTAAGAGACGGTTGTGAAAAGCTTGTGGAGACTGCCTGCTGCTCCGTGTAATTTGCGGTGGCAGAAGGCTCGGGGTATGATGAGACGCCGTGTGACATGTTCATATCGTTGGAGGCGGAATGGGTATAAGTCAGTTCGTTGGGTCCACCATTGAAGTAGTCCTGACTGGAAGGCTGTGCAGCAGGGGTGAGCATGTTAGCAACCGGCATGTTTGACGTGTAGTCGATAGTCTCGATGTCGTCTGGCTCTTGTTCTTCAACTTCCATCTCAGGCTCTGCGGGCTCGGGCTCGGCTTCGACTTCAGCCTCAGCGTCGTCGTCGTCATCATCATCATCATCATGGTCCTCTACTATAGCTGCAGACTTTTCTTCCTTCTTCTTCGCAGGCATCTTGTTGATCAGAGGGTACTGGCATTCCACGCCCAGCTCTTCACAGGAAGCGCACTCAGGTTTAGCGCGATCGCACTGGAATACGTTAGCATCTCCGACGAGGTCGCCCAACAAAACAGATCGACTTACCTTGGCCTTTGCTCTTCTGCAAGCAATACATCCTCCCCTCGAAATCCACTTCATTGGCGTGCCTGGCGGTGCAGGGATCAACTCCACTTCTTCGGCATCTGCGGCCGCCTTCGACTTTTGAGGCCGCTTCTTCTTCTTCCCTGAAGCTGGGGATTCCAACGTGGCTGTAGTGATATCAGCTTGCGCTGTTGGTTGCTGAGGCGTAGGTGACGCGCTGGTTGACGACGCAGCAGCATCGTTGGGGTGAACGATTCGGAGTCGCTCAGCACCATACTTTACGAGCATGGCAAGAGACTCTTTTTGAAGATCCGGAGATTGATTGGCAAAGATACCGAATTGTTCCGTAGAAAGACTCTCGGGATCTAAGCCGCTGTCGCTGAGGAGTCTGATGGCGACTTCGCGGCGCCTAGCCGCCTCGCCTGGGGGCACATTCAGCACTGCATGTGAATGGACACCACTTTGGACAGCAGCGTCCGCCTTGGTCGGAACAGTGGCTGTCGCCTCGCCGTTGGTGGCATCGCCAGCCGCTTGTGCGTCCTTTTCAGCTTCCGATTTCTTCTTCCTCTTCTTTGGTTGCACAGGTGTCCCATCTGGATTCAGGGCCTCGCTCTTCCTATTCCTCTTTGGCTTCTGGACAGGCGTTCCATCCTCATTCAAGGCCTCGCTCTTTCGCTTTCGCGGAGTTTTCGCCTTCTTGGACTTTTCTCCAGCGGGAATGAGAGGTGGTGGAGGTGCTGCTGGAGGGAGGGGTTTGAAGTGCTCGATCATCTCGCCCAGAGTCTTGTGGAGAGGCATGTGTTCGTACTTGACGTTGATGGTCCGAGTATTCTTCGAAAACGCAACGGTGAGCGTGCCGCGACAGTCGAAAGCTGGTCGGGCTTTCATTATAGGCTCAAGCTCCTTCTGGCTATACTCTCCTATGATAGTCTTATTGGACGTCTTGTGATTTTGCCGGTTCCAGGTGCCGAGAGAGTCCTTGCAGTTGTAGGTAAAAGACCACCCATACTGCCCGCGCGAAACCTCTCTCACCGCCCAGGTGCTCTCGTCCACCACAGAAAGAAGCCCAACAATATGTTTCGCCACAGCTCTCTGCATCACGGGGTTGTCGTGGGGCTGGCTGATGATGGTGTCGTAGGCGCGCACGATCTTGACGGTTTGGCCATCGACGACCTGAGTTCGGAGGCCGCTTAGCGCCGGGTCGATTTTCTCCTGCGCATCGCCGTCGCCATCGCGAAGAGCGAATTCGAGGGTAGACGGCACTTCGATTGTGACCGAGACATGTTCGCATCGTGTGGGTGTCTTCTTTCGTTCGAGTTCGCGACGGAGCTGGGCGGGGATGTCATCGGGCTGCGCAATTGACGGCCTGTTCCTCGACGCGCTTCCGTACGAGGGCGTGAGGCCCAGCAGGGCCTCAGCCATGTTCGATTGCGGCTTCCGTCTTTGATCTCGATGGATCGACGCGACGAGACCGCAAAGTCGCGTTTTCGCAGTTGGCGATTGTTGGGTTGTGACGGAACAACGTTGAAGAGAGCCGAGTGACGCTTTGGTTGGAGTCGTTGGCTGGGACAGAGGCTGGGGGCGCGAAAGCGCGGTTCCGCGTCCTTGAGAGGAGTGGCGGAGGGTTGATAAAAGCGGGTCATGTTCACATAGTAGCTCCTGCACTACTGTCGCTTAGACTCGGCCACTGGCCAGTCAGCATTGGCGAAGCTACACTTACGGTTTCCGTATCCATATCCGTAGTCGCTTTGTCAATCTCCATGTGGTCAGGGTATCCGAGGGCAGTTGCCAACGACGAGGTACCAGAAGATACCGTCGCCAGTATTTTCTGGTGATGCCGTCAAGCAAAGTACTTGCGAAATCTTTTTGCTCGAAGTCCACAAAGAGCGATGGCTGTCAGAGGAGGAAAAAATAAAAAGTATCAGTGAAGCGAAAGTCGGCGTGTGTGGGAAGTAGAAGGCGCGATAGCTTCACGTTGGCGTGTGTGAAGAAACGTGTAAGTTCCAGATTGCCTAGTAAATATGCAAAAGTAGGAAGGCAGCTTGGCTCTCCGACCGATGAATTATAACTCATTCGGGAAGGTTCTCGCCGGGTGACCTGAACAATCGTGCAGCCTCAGCGACGAGGCTTCGAATCAGCGATTATTCACATCCTGCTCCTTCCCTGAAAACCTATCACTGAGGTAATTCGCAGCTGCCCCTTCTCAACATGGTGTGCAGTCGACGCGCAAACACCCCTCCTGGCAATAGTATTTTTCGCTTCCATTACGTATGTCTTCTTTTCTCATTACGTGCTCGTTACGATGCGATCGTGATTTTTGTCGCAGTCGTGTGCTCCAAGATGTAAATAGCCTTGCCCTTCATGATGCTGATTTCGAAACCGTCTCTAAGAAAACCATCTGTCTATCACGATGCACGATTTCACTGGCACGTTAGGTGGAAGAAGACCGGTGGGATTATAGAATTCTCATCTTGACTACATAAAAAAAAAGAAAAGGGGCCAATACCAAGCAGGCATTGCGGTTATTAGAGAGAGCTCATACTCCCAAGGGTATCAATGGTATACAAGTGACAGGTAAAGGAAGAGCTTTAGTAGTAAATCTTCTCGTCCCAGATGGGAGGTCTGGCGCCCTCAGAGTCCCAAACAAGCTTGTTCTTCTCATCCAATGAGCAACCCTCATCGGTGATGGGAATGATCTTGCTTGTCTGCGCAATCTCATACTTCGAAACACCAGCAGCATCCTCAGGGATCCAAAGGAGAGGAGGCAGGCTCGAGACCGAAGGTGGGTAGTAGGCGTTATCCTGAATGTTGCCAGGGTACATCTCGTCAATCTGTGTGGGGTCGTGGGGGACGAGGTTGCGAAGGTGAAGGTAGTCGGCAAAGATCCACGGCTTGAGGAATCGTGTAACGATGTTGCCACCCTTCTCAACAACGTTCTCGTCACCTCCGGGGGCGAACTTCTTGATGTTGGGAATCTTCTTCATAAAGCCGCTCGAATCCCCGTTCTGTTCCTCCGAGACGCCTCTGCCAGAATCCTTGCGGTCGATGCCCTCAACGTCGGCGTTCAACGACTCTTCCTCGACCTGCAGGGATCTGGGGAGAGTGTACAGGAGAGGGTCCAAGACACTGTTCAAGGTGAGGTGGAAGAGAATTGAGAAGATGAGGAAGACGATCATAAGGACGAGGGGCCCGAATGCCTTCGACACGGAAAACAGGCCCACGAGACAGATCTCTGCCAGGTAGACGCCGGCGAAGAGCTGCTTGAGGGCGCGAGGGTACAGAAGTCCCTTGGTGTCAATCTTTGTGTCCGTAACGAACAGGATGTTGTAACGGTAAGAAAGATAGAACAGGCCAATGCCGAGGGTGGAGAAGAACAACATCAGAGGAGCGATGAGAGCGTAGGTGATGCCTGGCGGGGTTAGCTAGAAAATCAGGATTTAGTGCAAGTAGCAAGACTTACTGATGACGGCAATGGTGGTGTAGACAGGGAGGACGCTTCCCCATGAGATGGCAGCAAGGGTGGACCACTTGTTATACAGAGCTCTGGGCGTGTTGGTGAGGAACTTCAGAATGGCCACGAAGATTGCAAACGCCACCACTTGAGTCAGAACACCGGTTGCGAGTGTGATGCCCTGGAGGATGAAGTAGCTGACGTAGAAGCTGGAAGACTTGGGAATCGCAGTGGACAGAGTGCTGAAGATGGAGCCGGGATTCTCAGAGACTGCCTGGATGGTCGCTACAGCAGACGAGGAGATAGTCGTGATAAGAAAGACCTGAATGAGCTGGAACCAGTAGTACGCGTTCTGGGTAAAAAGCTCGACGCGGGAGTTGGAAGGCTCGCCAGAGAGCTTAGCGCAAAGACGCATAATGACCGGCACCAATGACATGAGCACTGCCAGAGCCACACTGGGGAGAAGACCAGAAACGACACCCATGATGACATTGGGAATTTTGTCGAGCCATGTGAGGAAGGAAATCTTCTTGAGGTACGAAACCTGGGAGATGATACCGACCACGGTGACAGGGATCGCCCAGAAGATGATGAGTGCGCTGATGAAAGCAATGACGGCATAGCGACGGACAACGCGCTGCCACCAAGATACTCTGAGGGATTTCCAGATGACCTCGGTAGGCTGGATGCCGATGTACTTGGGCGTCATCTGAAGAGCTTGGTGGTGAGTGGTAACCTGGTAGGCGGCCTGGGCATCGGATTGGGTGTAGAACTCTGCGAATACGGCCGGGATCTTCTTGGCCTTTCCGGCGCGGTAATCGGCTTGGGCGGCATCGACGGCGGGGATAAGGCGCTGGAGTTCGGAACGGCACCATTCGATGGTATCAACCTTCTTTCCAACAAGACCCAGAAGACCGAGACGGTGAGTAGGGCGCTTCTTCTGGGGGATCCAACGAGCAGCGGCATCGGAAGCGCCAGCCTCGGTGTCTTGAGCCGAGGGAGTCTTCTCAGGAGCACCTCCCTTCTTGGCAGCCTTGAGACGAGCGGCGTTTGCCAACTTGATGAGCTTCACCTGAGCCTTCTCGAGCTTCATGGCGACCTTGTCACGCTCCTCGACGAGATCGTCCAACTTCTCGGTGTCACCAGTGATCCAAACTCTCTTGATCGAATCGCTGAAAAGCTTCTTGAACTTGGCCTCGTCAAGGTACGCGTCGGGCACCGATACGAAAAGGACGGTGCGAGACGAGATGCGCTTAGAATAGGTTGGCGAGAGCAGGAAAGCCTGACGCAGGTTGATGTAGAAGATGCACTCGCGCATGATCATGTACATGACGAAGCCATAGAATAGCCATCCAATGAGAGCATGTGCGTACAAACGGTTGAGGCCAGAGGAGGATGCGACATCGATGTTGCTGTAGGTCAAAATATCGAGCTCCTTGGCGCCACCTCCGCCGGTTGCATTGACGGGGAAGAGGACTGGCCATGTCATGACAAGGCCGACTAGGCAGATGGTGGCGCAGATGCGGAGGAATCGAAGGAAGAGGTAAGAATCGAGAGACTGGTGCTTGAGAGCATAGACATCGGGGATCTTCCAAAAGTGACTGAACCAGTTGAACAAGCCATTGGGGAGACTTGGTGATCGCTCGCTATGAAGAAGTTAGGATGTCGGGCTTGTGAAGATGGAAATGATTTTACCAACCTCTCACGTAGGCTACCGAGATAAGTTCTGGGTGCATAAAATCGCCTTTGGCTGCGACGGAGGATCAAGAAGATGACGAGATAGACGCCGGCAATGGGAGCGCAGACGGCTAAAGTACTGACGAGGCCAGAAATGCTGCTGCCCGAGGTATCGTCAAGAGCCTCGCCGCGATTGCCCTGGCCATCTTCGGCACTGCTAAGACCCGACATGATGGCGTCTAGGCGAATTGAGACGCCTAGTGATCGTTACGGTCGTTGGTGTTTGTGTGCCTGCTAGGACAAAGTTGAGTCGAAAGAGAAGAAGGGAGGTCGGATACGGTGGGGGTCCCTGGGGCCAAGTCGGGTATTAAACAGGGAAGGGTATCGAGGGTCGTGTGTCGTGGAGAGTCCTACCGAGAGACAGACGAAGGGCCGTGGACACTTGGAGTCTGGACGGTGGGCGGGAAGAGAAAAGAAGGTCAAGGGACAGGGGGTTTAAAAAGAAGCAGTGGAAGGGGGACGGGTGGGGGATGATATGTGTGGTGCGCGTTGTTGAAAAACCGGGAGTTGGGAAATGAGACGATGGGTTCGTAGCTTGTCAGGATGCTGGAATGGGCCAGGCCGAGCGTCGATCAGTTACACAAGCGACGAGGTGCCCAGAGCTCTGAGGTAACTGATTGCGCGCTGGTGAGGTGAGGTGAGGTAGTGCGGTGCGCCTGCGGGCGATGGTGCTTTGGTCTGGACTTGTTGGTGCGGCGTGCTGCTGCTTTGGATATTGGGAGCGAAGCTGCAAAGGGGGTAGGTACTTGGAGCCGTAGGAAGCAGAAGAAGAAGCAAATAGTGACGTGACTGAGGTGAAGTGTTGGTAGTTTGGGGCAAATTGGGCGCGTCTCCCAATGTCTCAGTTCGTTGCGCTGAAAGGAGGTGACGCCACAAGACAGCACTAGGGGCAGTGTTAGTTTATCTTTCGTGCCCCCTTCTATTGCTCGTTGTTGCCGCTGTTGCTGTCACGACTGTTGCGCCAGCTTAAGTCGAGTCTAGTGTAGCCAGAACGATGGGGATACAGGAGTAGATAGAGCATGGAAGGTTGCTGGGGATGAGAGCAGGAATTGTCGATCGAGCCGAGGGAGCTTACCTTTCGATGAAGCGATGAAGGGCTGCAGTGCAGGCAGGAGGTCGGGCACGACGCAATAACAGGCAGATCTTGGTGGAGTATGATGGACAGACCGACAGATGGATGGAGTCGTGGGATAAAGTCTGTGGCAGGAAGGGAACCACGAGTCGTACAAGTAATGCCTCTTCCCTATCGAATGTCTGCAGACAGTCTAATATCTCTATCTGGACAGTCCAATCCGAATGCTTGAGATGAATAATACCCATGATCCGATGAGGGGTCCTCGTCGTCCCTTATTCTTATTTCCAAAGGGTCCTGTCTCCTCTCAAACAGGCCCTCGCCGACCAGGAAGGACACACATAGGGACGAAGCGTGAGAGGGAGGCCACCGGGAGATTCAAATTGAGACCCCCAGTTCGGCGTGGCCTAGACCGGGTTGTCACCCGTTCCACAGTGGTAGGTACCTCGTAGGCCGCTGGGTGCACGACACACACCAGCTGAAGACAGCTCGGCTGGGCCTTCCTCCTGTCGGCTGTCCACAGTCAGAGTGAAGACCGACTAGGTAGTGCTTGTTCATGCAGTCCAGTAAAGCCTCACCTCACATGCAAAGATTGCTACCTCACAGGCTCACTGTGTCGGAGAGATCGTGTTGGTGGCGCGGGCAAGGGGAAACGAGGCGCGGAGGTGGTGTGTTCCAGCTTAAGCTATCGGCAGAGCCACCGTCCCAATCGATGCTGGACGCGTCGCAGGGTTGGAATAGCTAGCAGAATGCCAGCCAATGCCAACTATGACGCAGACACGCAGCACCAATCCAACTCGACGAGCCCGTGCAGATGCATTGTTCTCACTGCTCAGTGTGGGCAGGAAAAGAGGTAAGGGTGGTAAGAAAACATGGGAGCCCCTTCATCCAGACAGGGGCTAGCCCAATGTGAATGTGCATTTTGGAGGCAGGAAGAGGTCGACTCTTTCCTGCAAACCTGCACCTTCCCAAGTTCTGCCCCCACTTTAGGTACCTATCTGAGGAGGTACCTGGCAAGACTAAGATGGAAACTTCGACATGGAAAGTTGGATCCCCTGGCAACTTCCTGGTGTCGATGCGCCTGCCATCCTGGGAACGGCAGCGCACCTACCACCTGGTGGGTCCTTCTACAGTGTATCGACGATTCCTGGCCACTCGAGGTGAAGTGGGTCGGCTGAACACTGCATGCGACGCTTCTTGATTGGCTGCCGCGTTTCTAACTGGAAACCTCCTTCACAATTCAACGCTGCTGTTGCCGGTTTGTGGGCACTGCCGAATACTTTTTTTTGATTCATTTTTTGATTAAATCTCTTTTTTTCTACCGAGTAGAGCTGACAGGTAGTATTCTGCCCACTTCGAGGAAGGTTTGTCGGTCCAGGTTGCCGTCTAGTGACTCCAGTCTACGATTTACGAACCTACTCCGTACACAGTTTGTGGTCTTGGCTCCCTCTCGCCTGCACCTTCCAGGTCCTTCAATGACCTCCTCAGGCTCAGACACCTCCAAGGTCCGTTCATACTGACGCACCCAAACATTCGTCGCTTGTCTTGGGATGCGTTCATCTCTTCGACTTTGGCATGGTCTTCACTCTAATCCTCACAAGTCGCATTTCCTTCTTCTTCTCTACCGGACTGTCCTGATTCACGCGGTTCACTACCCGGAAACACCGTGGTCCACCAGCCCTGCCACCCGCCGGCAGCGTTGCAGCCAACAAACAACACCCCCGGCAAACACCCAAAATGCGCTGGCTGAGATTCCCGGTTTTCACCACTTAAAATCTGGTCTTTTATCCTTCCCGCTGCAGGGCTCGTCGCAGTTTTGCAGGGTCTCCGGTCAATCACTGCGGGCGGTGCCACATCAAACTCCATCGAACTGGCCTTCAGACAGCCAACTCTTGATCATTTTTCAACCTCCATCCTATGATCCTTCACGGCATCTTCCCCGACCACCGCCCATTCTGCCTCGAAAGTTCTTGGCCCCTTCCAACGTTCGAAGCCTTGTTTCCCGGAGACACGGCGAGCGGCGCGAGTAACGGCAGCCATCCGGCACCAAACCTACCGAGTGACATCAACGTGCTTGGCTTGGCTTCTTCGGCCGAGTGAGCGACGTACCAGAAAATACCCCAATTCCACCTGCCCACCGACGCAATCCCCTCGTGATTGTCCATGCTATCGACAAGCTACGCACAATCCAGCATCCACTTCCGCGCGGCTCTTGCGCATCCCGTTCGAAAACGTCGATAACATGACATCCCTCAAGATACCCCAGAAAAGACGGTTTACACACCGGCCGGCTGGGCAGCCTTCGCAGGCGTCATCGAAAATGCCATGCTCGTATGGACATTGACATTTGCGCACCTCCAAATCGCTGTAGCCCTGGGACCAACGCACCGGTGGTCTTGGAAGTTGGAGCATCGAGACGAAGGATGGATGATGGGATCCGTGCCACTTACGATCTCCCGACTCTCGACGAATGCTGCCAATTTCCTGCTCTGGAACGCTTCGCTGGATGCCCACCCATGTTTTCTACCCTAGCGCCGATGGTCACCCAGCCCAAACCACTTCCGGAGACCCTATCAACCTGCATCGGCGCTACTCTACCAGAAAATCTCAAATCCTCCACAGTTTGACACCCGTCCCCATGCTACCATTGACAGACCATCTCCTCTAGGATCCCTGCTCGGCTGACGAAGGAGATTGTGTCTCCGGGAGAAACGCACACGGTGGACCAGCGACCAGCCGAGCCCATGGCCAGTGAGCCACGAGAGACAAAGCCGCGCCGCCTGAAAGCCAAGACAATTCACCAGCCACTGTTGCTATTATCTATACTTTGTGCGACATTTGACGACGGTAGCCGCCCGTGGTCCTCTGAACACGGCCTACTGCCGGTTACACCGTTTCGACGCATCCTTATTTGTTTCCAGCTTGTCGCGTCAAACGGCTGAGGACGCGCATTCTGGAATGACACGGCGTCGATGACAGGTAGGCAATGTTACCAACAATGCGGCTTCGTCCCTGGCCGAAAGAGTGATTAGCCCGATCAGGGCAATCTGCAGTCCTCAGCATTATCTGCATTTTACAACTCATCAGCCTGCACAGCTGGACATTGCTGCACCTCTTGCAGATTCGCAGACTTGTGCTTCCCACGTGCGCACCCGCAAGCTGACCGGCCGCATTTCGACCGGCCCAGGCCCCCATACCGCACTCGACCCCTTCATCAAACATCCCGGACGACTTCGCCTCAATTCCGGACCTCTCCGTTGAGAAATGAGAAACGCGAACCTAGGCGGCTGTTCTAAACTCTATTTGAAAGCTCCGTTCGGGACTACGCCCGGTAAACAACCATCGGCAATACTGCTAAGCAGCAGTAAAGCACACTTGCCGACGACCGAAAGAGACGAACTTCAGCCTGGTTTTAGACTCATGACCACGCTTAGAGCCGGTCCAGCTAGTGCCGCCTGAGCGAAGCTATTCAGAGGCTGTGGACTTCACAAGGCTTTACAGTCCCGATCCCATCGATCCTTCCAGAGATGCGGTCTGGTCTGAAGGATACTTTCCCATACTGCTGAAGCCAGAGACCATCTCTCTCCAGAGCAAATGAATATGCCCTGCCGCTGGATTCATATGCTTGTGCCTATGGGTACCGACAGTGGGTATCGCGATCCGCAAGTCTCAAGACGATGAGCACATTGCTCCAAGTTCTCATTGTCTAGATGTTGTCGCCTAGGTTTTCGCCGAAGTCGGTCAAAGCTTCATGATTCACCATCTCAATTCTTATTGCTCTTCCTTGCTCAGACATTGTAAAAAAGTGATGTTCCTCTGACAAAGGATGCCGTCCTCTCCTAGCATGGAGGAGGATAAAGGCTTCCCGTCTTAGACAAAACATCATCTCCATGCTCCGACAATGAATGAAAGTCGCATTCAGATTGCCAAAAATGCGAGCTGCCATTGTTCCCAATTTAGAACCATCACAATGTCATGCTCGTCTAATGTTTGCCTGGTCAATGTTGAGCTTGATATGGAGACCTGACCATGTAGTCTTTGTTCTAAGGTTTCCATCAGGTGCCATCACTAAGAAGAGCTCATCCCTTCGAATTGACAGCGTTGATAAACACGTATTGCCTCAAAGATGGCCATTACCAGCATCGTCATGCTGTTCAACCATTCATCTCACCAGCTGGCTTTTCTCTTCCGCACTGGAATTTCCCTGAGAATTATGCTCAACCAGACTTTTCATCATGTCTTCCAGAACGCCCCCTCCACCCCCTCAAGCTCGCATCCCAAAGACACCATATGCCGACGCCTACGAATCCCGCTACATCGAGGAGGTTCTCTGCCTAGGTGGCGGGAACGAAGACGCTCCACACGCTGACTATGCCAACTCGGATGCGAGCCTCCTGCGTCACGTCAACTGCGGATATCTCTCAACAAATGGACATGCGCCCACGCTGCTCGCTCTCAAGCAACACGCGCAAGCGCTGACCATCCTGATTGCGCAGCTTGCGCCGACGAGCCAGTACGCCGAGGTTGACAATGAAACCAACAACAACGAGGGCCGCATCCAGAAGTCGTTTAGGGACAACGAGGCCTTTGACTGGCTCAACAACTTGCAGCTTCCATATGAAAACGACGATGAGTGGCACAACAAGCCCCTGACCGATCTCATGAACAAGATCCAGCACGAGTCGGACACTCAGGGCACCGTCCACCACTGCCCCCTCCAGGAATACAACGCAGACAAGGACAAGAGAACCAAGCCTCGCCCCTACGCCACGCACACCGCCCTAGCACACCACGCAAACGAGTGTCTCGAGATGCTGGACCACGAGTACGGCGCCACGGGCGGCCTCCTGTCCCTCCTCCCCACCGACGAAGCCCTCGACAAGGAAGAGATGGCCGCCGTGCGCAACAGCCTCCTCGGCCAATGGCTCCTCTACACCCAGCACCTCGTGGCGCGCATGCACGACCTCGAGCTCGGCTACGCCAACGCCCTCGATGTCACCGCGGGCGAGGCCGCCGTGCCGATGCAGATGCTTTCGAGGATGGGCCCCGACGCCTCCTCGGGCCGGGAGATGGCGTATCCGCAGGACAAATGGATCCTCGCCAACGCAGGCGACGACGTTTTTGATTTCTTGCATCGCGTGTTGGACAGGCAGGAGGCGCAGATTGAGCAGAAGAGGGAGATTTGGACGGCCAACGGGACGTATGGTGAGCGTATGTGGAACGAGACGCGCGGCGGGGACCTCTATGCTCGCGGGCTCGTCTTTTACGACGTCAAGACGCGGTATTATAGGCTCGCTGGTAAGGGGAAGAGTACCATCTTCATCCTGCCCGCGCACGGGGAGCACCCTGCCGTGCAGCAGACGAGGCGGTTGGAGGTGACGCCGACGGTGGTGTCTGTCGTGACGCCGACGTGGCCTGCGCGGGTGTCGGATTGGGAGAGCAAGTATAAGAGTCAGCTGGACGAGGCGACGCGGATGGAGATTCAGAATCACGGGTTGACGAGTGCGGGGGCGGCGATGAAGGAGCATAACGAGACACTTGCGACGGAGCTTGACAAGGCGCGGTTTATGAATGAGCAGTTTGAGAGGTATTATGGGCGGGCGGAGGTGGCGGAGGGGCCGAGGCATTTGGAGAGGGCGGTGTCAATGTTGTTGAGAGATTTGAAGGAGAAGGAGGATGAGTTGAAGGGGTTCGTGATGATGGCTAGGGAGGTGAGGGATAAGTTGCCGAATCAGTATGGGGTGTTGTTTGATGGCATGGTGGATGATGAGGATGAGGATGAGGATGTTGGTGCTGGGGCGGCAGGTGAGAGGGCTGAGTAGGATGAGGTTGAGGGAGGCGTGGATGGCGGACTGTGTAGATGAATGCAGGTACGGGGTTGCACAGGTGTGAACTTTGATACATGGTGATGTTCTGGCCAATGGGCTGTGATGCAGACGTGAGGTGGCTCAGTTGAGGACGGTGTTACGCAGATGACAAGACAGTCCGCCAGCTGATACCTACATGGCTGACAACCTCTCTTATCAATGCCTTACCTCGCGTTTGATCTATTCCATGTTCGCCAAAGGTGGTTGGAACAGCTCAGGGTCTGAGAATATCTCTTTACACGATCACTTTCTTCTTTCATTGCCATATTGTCATGACCAGTTTCTGATGTAGTTACGTTGAGTATTTCTTTTCTGGGGAACGTTCCTTGAAGAACTAGCCAAGAAGAGGAGCAGTTGTGATGGTGAAAGTATTCGTAAGATAGCAAGAATAGAGACCCAGGATGTGTTGCGGTAGATCATTTTGTCATCCACTTGGGTGTCTGACGCTGACTTGGGTGACGCGGAGTTAGGACCGAGATGTAAAAAGTCGCGCAGCTTGGAGGCTGGAGGTTGGACGGAGATGTCTTCTGTTTCCGCGGTGGTGTAGCTTCAAATGCTAGGTAGTTAGCCTGGTTGATGAGGCAATGTAAGACAAATTGGCGCACGTAAGGGGACCCTTGCATGATTCATACAACCACTTCTCGCATTGTCACGTTGAACATGTGATTCCTGAAGGTTTCCCATCCGGACTCGGAGTGCTGTATCGTTGGGTATGCTGGAAGTAACAATAGTTTCACCGAGCATCAAGGAAAAGGATTGAAACACACTCGAGAGATAGAACCGTCGGTCGTTCGCGAATCACCGGTGGCCCCCGTCGAACAAAGAACGGCAGCAAGGATGCACAATGCCTCTAATCCGAATCAGGGATGGCGTACATCAGTCAGCAGGGGTCCGCCGTAGCCGAGACCCTCCGTTGAGTGGGGCGTTGCTCCGGACGACGGTCTGACAGTTGCGCAGCCGCCGCCAAAACAAAACCTCTCCAAGCTTGGAAACACTCACACACGCACCAAAGGCACCAAAGCACTTCCAACTTGCAGGCAACCCTTGACCGGTCCAGCGTCCTCGATCGGGGCCGACCTGCCCGCGGGTTCCTCATGATGCCATACCGCGGACACTAATTGGCCCATCTCCCTATCGTCCATCGGTGCTAAGCCTGCGGCGCAGATTGAAGACTTGGTTCTAGGCTTTCTAGCCAACCCCTCTTTTCCCGTTCATCCTGGGGCCCTTGGCTCGGATTTCCAAGTGTTCCCAAGTGCGCGGCCCTTTGATAGAGACGTTCGGGTCTTGTGGGCGCTGGTTCATACGGCTCTCTGCC